ATTAGCAGCATTAGATAAACAATTTGATGGCATAAATTAACAATGATATGTAACAATAATAGCCTACATCATTAATTTCAACATAACTAATCAAGACATAACAGAGAATTAGCAACGTTAACCCATAACGTGAGTTGTTATTTCTTTTGATAATAGAATTTTTTAACATGTATTAGTGCTCTAATCTTTGCTTGTTTTATGATGTAGTCTTAAAGTAAGATAACTTTCTCTTAATGAAATGCAACTGATTCCAATAGTTCTACTGATCTGCTGAGAAGGAATGACTTCCAAATTATTATCGCATCTTCGTAGAAATCAAAACTTAACTTCATACTCGTATAGTTATTAGATACTAATTAATCAAGGAATACTGCGATTAACAAACTTGCTTGCATACAGCAAATAGAAAAATTAGACTATCTCGAGCACTTACTATTTATATATTCTGCCAGTTTTTTTTGCATTTACTTTAGTGCATGTATATATAGTAATTGTCTATAATTTGCTTGCTCTTTTGAATGTTATTTTCTGCAAAGGCAAGCCCACATAGCGAAAATATTTTCACTATGCGACGCACTTATCATAAAATTCGATTAATACGTATGAAGTGGACAGAAAGAATTTATTTATAACTAATTTAATTAATGCATTTCTGCGCAGATCATTCGTTGAACCGATTTGGTGAGGTCAATTAATTAAAGAGGTTTGCATATCATGGAAGAACTTAAGTTTAATATACAAATATACTGAATACAGATGGTTACAAATGATTAAATATTAGGTTTTTCTTAAGGTTAATAATTAATTATAGTCATACTAAAGCCAAATTCTACTTCCAGGTTAATGAAAGGGAACTTTATGTTTGTTAGCGAACTTTCCTATCATGTATCCCGATGAATATCATTATGATAAACTTCATTTAAAGAACAAGCTTCAAATCGTAGCTTTCCAAGGATAACACTGAAACATAACAGCCGCACATTTTTTTTCTGCTACAATTAAATTAAAAACCGATGACATTTTCCACATTATTTTAGCCTGCAGAGCATAACAAGTCATTAAAATAATTATTTTTAATTCTTTTAGTATGTTTTATTTGAATCTCTGTTATCCTTTTGTTTAATTAAATATATTGTTCAGTTTCTTTCATCTTTAATTAATTACTCTCTCTTTAATCAATAATGTTCAAATTTAACACACCTTAAATAATATCTCGTATATAATTAACAGGTAGCAATATAGACTGTAACTGAGTCTGTGTTGAAGTAAGTATAGTTAGCAACGATAAAAAGGTAGTATTGCTCTAATAAATGGTCTTGTGTAGCAAATTTCATCTAATAACTGCCGCTATCGTCATGCGTAGAAATAAAAATTGCTACTATCAAGTTTACGAATAAGCAACTCGTCAGAGCTTATTTTGCATCTTACAATTTTCTTTACATTAATAATATAATCAATCAAAGGAATGGTGGACAACCTGATATTATATTAATCGTAAATTCTTTTCTCTTTTGAGGTTTAACATCGGTTATATTAGCTAGGTCATTTACATCAATACATGATACCGGTAGTGAAATTTAAACTATCAGTTCAAAGTCACTAAAATTAAAATGTTATTTATTTTCTGATTGGTGAATACGGTATTCTCAGTGATATTACGAACTAACTAGCCTATATATCATACAGTAGCTTTACAATTGCTTAGACGGCAAAGGAAATGCTGTAATGTATGAATATACCAGATCATTCAACATGCATTACTAAAACATTACAAAAACGATTTTGATTAGATAATGTAGCTATCACAAGCGATAAATGATCACTAACCAATTGAATATCGGAATTTATAAAGCAATCGATGTTAATGCAAGGAGGATTAGCTACTTCAAGAATCAAGGCATTATTGCAAGCAAACACTAAATTAATTAATAAGTAAGCTATCAGCTAGATATGATATTGTAACAACAAGTACGGCATGGGGTAATGGAAGTCAATAGGTGCAAACTAATTTCACTCTCGCAGTAATAGTTTCTCATAGGGTGTCGTTGAAATGCCAACTAAAATCATAAAGTATAATCAGTTTATTGATAATGCATAGCTTGTGTATTGTACTGATAATTCAATAGCTCCAATACAGAAACGTGTAATTAATATTCCCTACCGCGTTTTGATACCTAACTGTGAGTTTCTCCCGTTTTCTCCGCCCTTTAAGACAATTTTAAGTGCAGCATTATGCGATATAAGAAAGAATATTTGGTAAAGTTATTTAGATGAACCTAAAGTGATGGCTTATTTATCTCATTTATTGCTCGATGACCTGTAGGTAATAAATTATACCATCCATGTACTTTGTCTGGAGCTTTTCGCATCCATACCTTTGAAATATTTAGTTATAGTTTCTATAACATATAACTACAATTTCATCTCAGATTCAAAATTTGCATGCTGGGGAAGTTTAAAAAATGTCTTACACATTTCGAAAGTTCTAGTAATGAAGTAGCCGAAGAAAATTTTTTTAGATAGAGATTAGTGGCCTTTATGGTAACTTTTTTTTCGAAGTATTGAACGTAGATAATAGTATCACACCTCATTCGCTGGTACAACTTGTATCATTAACATAAAGTAATCAATTAGTAAAGGATATTGATGTGTTGGATTTAAATTGAGTGATATATTCAGCGTCCCATTATGTGACCATGAATACACATAGCTATTATCAGGCACGATGATAAATAAAATGTCGGTAATAGAAGTAAAAATTTAATGAATCAATGGGTTATTTTATACAAAGAAGTTAATAAATATAAAAGTACAATTCGTTGATCTAATACTCTTAAACCGAAATACTAACTCGCCTATCAATTTGTATTTTTGAGCTTTAACTAGAGGCAATTTATTAAGGCTTTGAATTCTGTTCGATAGCTCAATCGGTACCATTTTATAGGAGGTTGCTATATCATATTGCACGCGTCGCGAATTATTTGTCATAAATCAGCTTATTTGAGGCATAGAGTCTATTTATCATCTTTTTGTTAACGTGTAGTACTTCTACCTAAAACAAAAGTTTTCATAAAATTCATATTCAATTGAATTACTAAATGTATTTAAGATGTCATGCTGTTATACTAATGATCAAATTTGAAGGGTTATGGGTATGAGGTCAGGACTCGCGATTGGGTTTGAAAGGACACTAATAACTTTAGAATTTTGCATACAGGATTTACTATTATTTGCTATTAGGATTAGATTGTATGCTTGTGACACAGTTATATACTGTATTAGAGCAGAAATATCTATGCTAGGATATTTTTGTTAGCCTATCCTTATTTAGTTAACTTCTAATTTGGATATACTGTGTTTTAATATAGCACTAGCTTTTTATGACAGTGACATATATACATGTACTGAAATTAATAGTTATAGTGAATGATTCCAAAGTTAGTTGTACTATGACTCATGAACTATTGAGGAAGAGTATATAAACGCAATATATTATGTAATAAAGTTAATTCTTAAACTTAATGTTTAGCATAAAATACGAGGCGTCGAAGTCTTTGTGCAGACTGCTAGTAGAGCAAAAGTGTTCCTGATAGTGCAGATATCGTTCCTTGGCACGTAGTTCAAGGAATTGACTTATTAATCGTACATTACGTTATCTTGTTGCAAAGCTGTTTGTGACATGCTTTACAGTAGAATTTTTGGCATAGTAGCTAGTAAAATCATATCAGTAGAATTTATTGTTGTATGAAGTACATTACCGGTATGAAAAAATATAGAAGTTAGAATCGTGAATTGATACATCCTCTTGTCTAACAGGTATCTCCTATAAGAAAAAACCAGAAGGATAGTGTATTATTGTATTCTTATCTACTAATAATGCAGTAGTATTTACGAGCTGGTCAAACGTAGCTGTTTATTAATGTAGACACTAGCTAAGTAATTAATTTACATGCTAAGAAAGGTAAGTTCATTTAAGGGAATGTAATATTTAGTACTCTTCTGCTTTAATTCATAACGGAACATTGCTGAATTTTATGAATAAGCAATAATTCCCACCAGTCTCGATAGTTTACATTCTATGGGCTCTGAAATAATGATGATGCAAAGGAAAACTAATGGACTAGTGCATACGCATTCCAATGTCAATGTCTAATGCTTTTACGTATTTTTAATATGTTACATCAAGAATAACAAAACAATCCAAGCTTCATTTCCTAGGCCTATCAGTATTCAAGCATTTTAATCTGATATTAATAAAATGCTAAGAAATTAATAAACTTATTTGCAAGATTTCTAGAATAATAGAATTGAAATTTAGAGATATCATGCTAAATTTGTATTAACCAAAAGATTACGTTAACTATTCCATGAGCAACGATCCCGAGTAATCTCAGCGAATAGATCGTACTTCAAAATTTAAATGTAGTTCTTTAGTGTACACATCTTTACGTCTAAATTCGATTGTTTAAGCCCTAAGGTATTATGAGCTATAGCATTACAAAGCTTTTGATCGTATTAGCTTTAAAAATATGTAATAGGCATGGAAATGATTCATAAGCATTAGTAATCTCAGTATTAGTAGTTCTATTAATCTAAATATATATTTTAGATGCTTCCTGGCCAGTAACTTGGAGGACAGCCAGAATTAAGCGTAACAATTCTTTCTAACAAACATGGCTATACGCCTACGATGGTAACAAGATACAGTTTCATCATCTTGTATAAGATAGCACAACAGCTACTACTTTAGCTTTAAGATAATAAATTTTAGCAATGAAATAATTACAATTGATACCATGTATGTTATCTTTACTTATGCATTATTATAACAGCTAAAGGTGGTTAAATTAACATCAAATAGCTATATCAATTGGAAATTTTATGCTGAGAAAAGTTAATAAAATTGAAATATTCACTAACGGATGTTGTTGCTTTAGGGTCTACAACTTTAGGCCGATTATCAGATATTACTATGTTACCTAATGATTATTCCTAGTATGTTACAGCTTGCTATTCTCATACAACAGTTGGAACGATGGATGAATTATATCAATTAAATCTGATACTATCATCGATCTCCCTTTCAGTTTGAATGCAGCTTCTGCACAGGTCTTGACTAATAAGCATGCAGCATAGGCAGCAGTAAGAGTTGGAGATAACGTATTCATCCTAAATGAATGCAATATGGGTCTTTAGTAAAATTAAACAATAATTAAGCCTATGAATTGCATAGGAGAGACAACCACAATACTAACACGTTTTTTATCATCATTTACGTATGATTTTAAGAAATAAGGCAAATTGAAAACAAATTTGATAAAAATAGAATTTATTTATAGCGTACCTGCTATCGTTTCTACTAGTTTCTTTTTCATTAGTACGAGCCCAATGCAAAAATGTGCCCATTGAGCCAGATAAGATATCACCCTGACCGCCACATCTGCGCGAGCAACCAGCTGCATCGCATATCAGATCTAAGAAGTTTAATATTTTATGTTATTAATGACGATTCAATAGCTAAAAGCTTTCGAATTTATCATTTCGAACAGTTAATCACCGTCTGTTACTGTCTACTGTAATATATAAATTTCTAATATGGTATTTGTCTGGCTCTAACCTTCAATTCCATTGGAAATAATGTCACGGCTACCTTTTTGTACTACTGTTACATTTCCCAGCGCATTTGCAACATCTTTAGTATTGGATACACCAAGGTTTGCATCTGGAGATTTACCCATCTAACAATGTAGTAATTATCTTTAGGAGTTTGACGTAATAATACCTGTAAAGGCTATTTAACGGTACTATAGCGACTAAAACAATTAGCAATAACTGATATGGTCAGTACATCATAAACATACGAGGGTTGAGTATAAACGAGAAAATTCTACTTTGTTTGGCGTGAGAATAGCAAACTTGTAGCCTTTGATTATATCTGGATATTTAGTAACGATGTATAAGCCATCCTATTGTGTGAGGTAAAAGGTAAATAAGTTGTCGCAATTTATGCAGATTGCTACTCCAGATTATATTCTTAAATATGGATCGGTTAAAACTTAGACAATAGTTTCAATCATGGCTAAAGTTAACAATGACGGCTGTGGATTTAATCCGATTTATAACGTTTCAATACTTTATAAAATAAGAACAGCATCAATAATTTCTGGTAAAAAAGATTTAGTGCTATAAGTATTAAGATAGCAAGAAATGTCATCTTTAAATGCAAGGACATCAAAATCATGTACAAATATTAAACTGATTAAAAAGGCTATGCCTCGGAGATAAACTGATCTCAGTTTGTAATAATAGAAGGAACACTTCAGTATGTCTTAGTAACAGACAGGATAATAAGAGAAATCTATATCTTAGAATATGTACGTTCTAGAAAGGGTATTATCGCAGCAAAGGTTACAATCATCTTTGCGTCCTCGTATACAACTGTACATTGAAATACTTACAGCATCAATCACGATGTTAACTTGCTTTGCTTTTGCTTTAGCAATTATTTTCTAAGGTAGTAACAATAAAGAAATGGTTTCGATCAGAATCTTGCATGTTTTGTAGCAGGATAGTTCAGGTATGCATAACACAAATCTACGGCTATTGAGGTTCATTACTGTCGCAACCTTTTAACCTGTTAGATTAATGTTCATCAATAGAGTATTGTATCCTCTGCTTTATTATGCTGTACTAGGTCGACGATCTGGTTATTACTAAGTGATAAGGATAATTAGTTCAATAACCTTTACTGTTTCAACAACTTCATCATCTCTGCCCAATCCAGGTCCAATAACAAGACAGTGCATCCGTGGTAGCCATTCATCGAAAATGTTGACAGCATTTTGATGATCTCTACAAATCGAGGACGAATGGAAATCTCGTTACCTCTGAATATTTCATGATATGTATAATACTGTACATCATCATCAGATATTTCATTAATTCATATGCATACAGCATCGGATGGACAATCAACTCTGGACTATAGGTTTTTATGGGAATTCCAGCATCAGCAGTGCAAAATATATGAGATAGATCACCCCCCTGTCAAATGGATAGAAAACTTGTAAGTGAATATATATTTTAGGATACAATAATGCATTACTAAATTAATTTGGAAGTTGCCTTGATCTATCAACGTTTTAAGTAGAGTACATACATCTTCATTACTTAATTAAAGGTAGAAAGTTACAGCTGGAATTGTAGTAGCTATCGATAATAAAGACTAGAGTCTCATTAGAAGGAGAGATTATAATGGGCAATAGTAGCTTTTAATAGTATTCTTTTAATAGTATTCTTGGTTAAGTCTCATTAGAAGGAGAGATTGTAATGGGCAACAGTAGCTTTTAATAGTATTCTTGGTTATATATATAGTAAAATGTTAATTGCGGTCACCATACAATTGCTGACTGCACTTTCAAGTCATAGGCAACAGTAGCTTTTAACAGTATTCTTGGGTACAGATACAGTAAAGTGTTAATTGTGCTCACTATTCAATTGCTGACTGCAAGTTCAAGTATTAGGCAACAGTAGCTTTTAACAGTATTCTTGGGTACATATACAGTAAAGTGCTAATCGCGGTCGCTATTCAATTGCTGACTGCATGTTCAAGTTTCGTTACTCTAATAGTAACGATAGTACGAATAGATTAATTTATTAGTTGATTTCAAATACAGGATCACTGCAGTCATCCTCATAATGTACAATATTTACCACTATACTGCTAGTCAATGAATATAACGCTAAGGAGCAGAATTTTACAAGTCCTGTTTAGCAAGCCGCTAGATGTGTAACAGTAGCAGCCAGCATAACTGATCAATTAATATATGATCCATTCATTATAACTTACGGTTCTTAAAGCAGAAATACCAGCAAAATATGGAGCACCAGTATATCTAAAAATATTAAAAAAAAGAGAAATAGAGGCAATAGTTGAAAAATTCTTGTAACTAAGTGTGTCATGTATTAAGAAATTTGTATGCAATGAGTAAAACTTGAACACTATTTGATGCTTATCCTACTCGAAGCAACCACCGATGATAGCAATTCTACCACTCTGACCTTTATGACGATCAGAGGATAAAGGAGGTAGCATTGTACGTATTGATTGCAAAACTACTTGGACTTTGCTTTCATTATGTTGATACGCGGACTGAGATAGATTGAAGGCTTGGCTGGACATATTTCTAGCTTGAAGGAAAGATGAAATGAATAATTGCAACCTCATCTAGTTGGAACTATTTTGCTTCCCATTGCCTAGTTGCAAGGGATGAACGAATTGCTTTACCCGCATACGATATTATACTGTACCGCAAGGGACTTCTTCGGTACAGTAAGTAGTCTAATGCCCCAAACATGCTATGACAATATATCATGAACTATAAACAACCACTGTCTGCGTACTGGATGACTGGGAAGCAAGTACTGTACACTGTCGTTACAGTATACGCATTACCGGTGTATCCGTATCAATAATTCTCTATAGTAATACCTCTACCGTATTGCTCCTACGGTACAGCAACCTGTTTTACACCTGCAGCATCTTAGGTCATCGATCTCAATATAGGAGGATATCGCTTGGTTTAGCTACTTTGGCAATTAATTATACGTATGACTTAATCTGATTAATTGATACTGCATGTATGTGTATATATATATACTATATATATATTTTAGTATGGCTTATTCGTCTAATAGAGCCATTTTCCTTTATTATGATGGTACTACCTGTAATAATATCTTGTTTAAAGTAGCGTAAAGTATTTTAAGGTAGACGATGATAGAAGGTATAAAGGATTTTATTGAGATACAAGTTATAGGCTAACAATGATATGGTTGTTATAGATAAGGTAGTTGAGATAGCAGGAACGTAGGAACTGACTAACGAGTTAGCTTATAAGGGTATTTATAGGTTTTAGATGAGATTGAGATAATGTCTTTATATGTATAGCATGTCGTCTATATGTCGTCATGATGTCGTACATTAGGAATGCAATACAATACAGTACAGTACTTAAACGGTATATGATAAGTATTCGCATATTAGGATATTACTATACTAGGCATCTTCTATATAAGATCATAATGTTACACTACCTAAATATTGCATGTAGGATATTGTAGGATATCGCTTGGTTTAGCTACTTTGGCGATTAATTATACGTATGACTTAATCTGATTAATTGATACTGCATGTATGTGTATATATATTGTAGTATTTCATACTCGTCCAATAGAGCCATTTTCCTTTATTATTATGGTACTACCTAAATACTGCATGTTTTTTACATGCGAGTATTTTAGAATACTGCTTGCTTAGCTTTAGCTATTAATAGTAGGATAATAGTATATCATTTATTTACTTGAGGATATTTTAAAATATTACCTATTTAACTTTAACTATTAATGTTAGCTATAGTATGCCATTGAATGAAGCGAGGCACCAGTGCGTTATTGTAGAACATACTGCACCTGTATAACTTATTAGCTTTGATTTGAAGCGTATTTTAATGTTGATTTTAATAAACTGGTAAGTGCACACCATCAAAGAACGGGATGCTGATATAAAACATTTACTATCGGAAGGCATTCTTATCGTAATACAAAATATTATCATTTAATGGACTGTAGCACCTTTATAGGATTGTAATGTTATATTTGACTGCTAATAAGGACCATAAATTATTTATTTACTAATTGATAAATGAATGAAAGCGTATGCGGATTATAGCATCTAACCAAAATGGTCAAATATAAGAATATAGTAATTAGGAACTCAAAGTTTTTTCTTACTGTTGATAACAAATTTAAAAAATGAAAATTAATTCCGTTGGTGATATGCTGCTCACGTATTGAAATAATATCCTTATTTCATTTCATAGTCAGATAAATTGAAGATAGGTTTTGCTACGACCTGACTGCAAAAACTGATTCTAATGAAGCCATATTATTCAGTCTAAAAGTACAGAAATTGACTTGGGAAAAATGTCAGCGTGAATGATCAAAGCTGGTAAGTTATCCTAATTTTTAAGATCGATATAACTCATCAGAATATCAACACTGAAGCCAATGCAAGTAATCATGCCTGTGGCTAAAATATTACGTATATAAATGTTATTAAATTTCTTTCATTTATTAATTAATTATTGTTAAAGTCTTTTACATTAAATACATAATATACAGTAGTAATTAATTGAAGAATAATGAAATAATGATCTCCATTTTACACTGGTGAAATCAATCTCCCAATGTCTTCAGCTTGATACAAATTAATACCATTGGTAACATAAAATATAAATGTATGGGCAAAGTCTTGCCTTTTGTAAAAAGGAAAACGCTACAAAATGAACCTTGTTGTAGTAAAAAAAAACATAATTTTAATGACTATGTATAAATCTTCCCTATGTATATTTTCAACAATTTCGTAAGGGCAAAATTTTCTAAGAGTTAATATGAGCTGGTGAATATCAGGAATAATGCTTTCGAATCTGATTGGGTCAAATTCAGTATTCTTATAGTATCAAATAATTACGCCAGCGCAACTCCACCACATATCAACGATACAACGTTGAAGAAAATGAGCCATATTATTCAGTGGCTTATGTTTATACAGGTTTTGTCAATTTTTATAAACAAAGACTTCTATCACTACAGTTTGTGGTACTACAAAGGCAAATTTCTATTCTAATAGTACCACAAATACAAGAAAAAATTCTAAAACGGATTTATTAACGCACCAGAATTTAGTGGGGAAAATGGGTTGGCTAAAGCCCACATGATAGCATTATTCAGAGCCATACATGACTGTCCGTTTTCTAAAAAGAACGCACTCCCCTAGAAATCATAATATCACAAGTAGATATTAGCGGTGATAATTTCTGTGACAATTGCACAGAATAAATACAGCTAAAACATACATGTATACGAGTATCGGTGACACTGCAAAACTTTACGTCTGAATGCGAAGGATAAGATGATCCACTACAAATTACAGGACCACGAAGGGACTCACTGGTGAGTTCACCTAAGGGATAAATATTAGAACTTCATATATCTACTACTGTATATAGCGTGACGTTATGTCAAGGTCTGCAAATAATTTAGTAAGAATTGTTTTACCAATTGGATCGTAACTAACCTGCAAGCTGATACAGCTCATCCAATATCTGTCTTTGTTTGTGATCATCGAGCTTTAAATTATCCATATTATCGTTTAATAAGACTGTTGGGGCTTCATGGCTTCAAACAATAAGTAATATCCAATAAAATAGACATTTAAAGAAAGAACTGTTTATTAAATCTAAAAAAATCTGTTATTATTAGCATACTTCGGTGACAAAGTTCTCGCTTGCCAAGCCAAAATGTAAGCATTTATTTGGGTGATATTCAATGGCAGTTCAAGATCTTCTCTTTGCATTAGCGATCTTAACAATCGAATACATGCACACAAATCAAACTCTCTGATAATGTCACGAGACAATGTCGTGCAAGGAAAATCTTTAGCGCAGGGATTTCAATTCTATTTATCAAATGCGATACTAATAAAATCTTACTTTGCATTTAGAAACAATGGCCGAACAAGACTATCGTAACTCATTCGGACACACATAAGGGCACCCACAATCGATGCTAAAGCCAATAATTCCGACCTTTGCCTGAAAATATGAAACAACAAATAATGATATATACAGTATTATAGCACTGAAATAAACAATCAATCAGCTATTAATATTGCATTTAATATCTAGATTTTATAAAGACCTCGAGCAGCTGGAGTCTTGTAACTTCTCTGGTCTTATGCAACTAAGATATTGTATTATCTCGAACACTTCATTTAAATTCCACTTCGGTTTTGACATCATTCCTATTCGACGCCATATTATGATATTAAGTAATACTGTAAGCTCAACAGTGAATTACTGGAGGTAGACTAGATATTTTCAGTAAGAACCTTTCATGGCATTTATTCCTATATCCAAAGCATCCTCAGGATTAGAGGAAAGGATGCAATTTTCTAGTCTTTCTATTAGTGGTGAATTTTCATTTTTACTTTTCTTATCGTAATATTCTATATCTGATAAACCAGCCTAAAGAATAAAATAATACAAGAATGCAACATTATTGACATTGCAAGATTTACCTTGAAAGATTTTGGTTTACGTTTACCATTTTATGCAAGGCGTTAATATTTTCTGCATTATTTGAATATCTCGCACAAGTCATGACAAGCCATGGTTTTGAATTAGTTAATTGATTCAACATTTGAATCGCCAAATCCCTATGAAGACAGATGTTAAAGCTTAGTAATAACTGTATTCTAATAAATAGTATTCTGTAATCTAGTAAATATCACACTGCCGTCATACCATTTCTTTAATTTTTCACACTTTCTAGCTAGCAGCCTTGCAGCAATCTCAAAACATTCATATGAGCAACGTTCTTTTAAGACTATTCCAATGCTGACAGCCAATTCTAATTCATTACCCATAATCAATCTTGACATAGCCAACTACAAACAGGGAAGCATTACAAATTCCGATATTTAGTCATGCTGTAGCAGCTTTTTTAGTCTCAAGATACTTTTCACTTACGTCATACTGATCATTCGATAGATGGCAATTCGCTGCCATAACCGGCCGGCCGCTGGTAAAGTATCTGTTTGCAAGTAGATTTACAGTATCGTCCAGCAACCTACGTACCACATTCAATAAAATTTATATCAGATGTAGCCAAATAACAACGTCTCAATAAGTACAAAAATCCTGCATGTCGCCAAATTACTTTTTAAAGGGAGAACTCTTAGTTTTAAGACTTGGAAGGTGTTTTGCAGCTGTTGCAATAGCAGATTCATCGTAATTTACGGGGTCAGCTTGCGCTATTTGAGCTATTAGAACCGCTTCATGCAGCCTTGCTTTACTTTTTAATAATGTAATCAGCTACATAGTAATATAATTTTATATCGAATACAGTCATTTAGGTACTACATCATAAGCATGATTACATTAAATATATACGTAATACGATTTAGTACTGATGATAAAAAACATACATTTTCATAATTTCTGGTAGCAATAAAGTATGGTACACAATCCTCGGAGTCCTCACTGGCAAGATATTTAGCGTGTCTAGTTAAATGAAATATAGCGTTGGTTAATAAATACATGCAAAAAGTACTATGGACTGAAACATGCCGAAAATTCTATATGCCCGCATATTTACCTTTCCGCAAGATTTTTCCAGAAGGTAAGTGATACTGAAGGAGCTACTGCTAAAGCTTTATCCCACTTTATGAATAATAAGCGAGATTTTAAAATTATCAAAAACCTTTGCTTTACTATGGAAACATGAATGGACTGAAAATAGCATAAAATATCATTTCATCACATTACCTCTCCTATCTCGATTAATAATTCACAATATTTTTGTGTGTGACCAAGCTGTAAGTATAGAGCTGCAGCTTTCCGTAATTTCTCTTCCTTACTAGTATTACCAATACCCCCGCTAAATTTTGACATCTTGGTAGATTCCAGCTCTTGAGCTTGCGACTAAGCAGGTGATAATAAGTACGGAAAAAAATTCAGCGAAATCACTAAATCGTTTAATAATTATAAAGTTAGGAGTAAGGAAATATTTTTATTGGCACGATATTCGTTAATCATTGCCTATTGCAGTACTTATCATCAGCTTAAAAGTTAGCTAAGTAAGCCCACTCTATGCTTTGCCATATCATACATACAACAATGATTAAATAAAGGCTTACGATTTTATATTTTGAAATATGTTTGACGTGCATAATCCCTTCGCTGTAATCCGTGGGTAGTAATGAATCGTTATCTTTTAGTATCACATCCAGGAGAGTCCAACAGTTATTGACACCAATGGGTGGCTAAGAAAATTGATTTTAGTTACAAATATTATTAATTCTAGTTCACAAATGATATTAAAAAAGGTTTTACAAACAATTCAAATTCTATTTTTTTAGTTACACAACAGTAACTATAACTGACCAGGAGAAATTCCGAAAATGACCGCAATTTCATATCTTGGACGTTAGTGTCGTTCCCAAAGTTAGCACGTAGAAGTCTCGATATCGGTCCACAAAGTATAATCTCATGTTCAGCCACCATTGCATCATCTTAAAGCAGAAAAAAGTGTAGAATACATAAAATTAATAACGATTTCAGTCAATCAGGTAAATTAGTATTCACCATACCGGCGGTGCCCAATATTTCATTCCAGGGTCTTTTCGCTAATAAAGACGTATAGATGCGACTGGAAAATGATGATAAATGCCAGATTCTTAATGTAGAATCTCGAGAGCAAGATGCCAACGTGAAGGGCCGAAGAGGATGGATACTAAGACCTAATAAGTATTCGTTGAAGGTTTATATTTAAATCTGAAAAGTCAATCATTAACTATGAAATGGAATCAAAATTGTTTGTATCCGAGACAAATTTAAGAAAGAAAATCAATTTTGTAAGTTAAAATTAATTGTATTAACAACAACTATACCGTAGACATCGGCTCCATGATCAAGGATGGTTTCTATACATGCACCATCCCTAAACATTTGATATAAATGTCTTAAGTTACGCTATATCATGGCAGCCCTTTAGCATCAAAAATTGAGTGATACTAAAGGGATTCTACTTACCTAATGTCCCAGATCCTTATAGTACTATCCCAGCTACCGGAAATTAGGAGAAATGGAATTTCCGGATGCCAAATTAGCCCACGGACAGGGGCTGTATGACCTTTGAGAGCGATAACACATGAATCCTGCAGGAACAGTAATAAAGGCAATTAGATAACAAGCAGTATATGGTTAATTATTGTAATGAGTGCTTTATGTACCTGTGTATAATTCCAAATACGAACAGTACTATGGTATGAAATAAAGACGATAGAAAAATTATATCACTAACCATTAGTAACCATTGCAAAGAATCACTTAAATAACGCTAAGATTAATAAATTTACCCATCATCAGATCCACTACATAACAGCCCCTCACGTAATGGAGACCAACGAACATGGAATACCTTGGCTGTATGACCTATAGTTGAATATATAAAAATATTCTTAAAAGAAATACAAAAGTATCACGAATCTTTATAAAATTGTTAATATCACTAATTCTTAGATTTAAACAACGAAATTTGCCTACCAGAAAAAGTTTTCAGCGGTGTATCAGAATTCGTAGTTAAGATAAATACTCTTATTCGTTTGTCATCACAACCCGTAGCGATCATGTCCCTAATTTTCATATTCCATAATTAATCTTTTCACGCGTCAATAAAATTTCAAATAATCAAATTGTAAAAATGAAACATTACTTATTAGTAGGGCTCCAATCACATCCAAAAACAAAACCTGGGTGCTTAAATTTCGCGATGATTTGACCATCGGCATGATGAATGATACTATTGGTTAAGAATGATGTAACACAGTTAAGAAGTAAAAATGGGAACATAAAAGCGACATATCTGATAGAAGAGAATATGTATAATACCAACCAGTTGCCATCAGCCCCACAGGTTGCAATCTTTCTTGAATCTTTTTGATTCCACGAAACACAATAAACAGCGTTCTTCCCATGCTAAGAATGATTATACAATAGAACCAAGACAGTTAAGAAATAATTATCACAAAATATACAGGTCAATGTTCATTTGGAGAAGAAATCACCTCTGTAAATCTTCTGATCACTTTAACTTTATCTACATCCCAAATGAATGCACCACCTTTAGCAGTAGATGCTGCTAAACAGTTTAGGTCGGCTAAAATAAATCAAAAATTAATGCAGTTTTAAAACTAAAGAGATGATGTAACACAAGTATAATGATTCTCGAATATGGTAATTTACCTGGGGCCCATGAAACTGAATAGATGATACCCTTGTTTCCGGGAGAAGCATATTTCTATGAAGGAAAGAAAATAAACAAATGCAATGTCGAAAATTTTAGATATCACAGCACATTCTATTATGGCTAGTACATAGTCGTTATAAATTAGCCCTACTGATTAGTTGATATTATATTAGCACGTACAGCAGTCATAGTGTTGATATCCCACACTTTAATAGTTCCATCGAAAGATGCAGTTGCAAGTAAACTTGGATTAGTTGGTTTAAACTTGCAGTCGAAAATTGTCTCTATGTGGCCCTTTTATGACATAACCAAATACAGATTTTAGTACTGAAAATAGTATTCACCATAAAATATCAATCACTAGCAAGCCATACAGTAAATTGCCTTAATATCCAAAAGGTAGTTAATTTGTGCTTACCAAATCTCTTAGAAATTCCCACCTTCGTTGCTGCAAACTGTACAGACCAACACCGCCATCAGCAAAAGTACAGACTATTCGTGCAGGAGGTAAGGCAACACTACCATTAGATTTCGTAGGTGAGCTCGGTGCTTCTTCTTGTTTTTCTTGATAAGGCGTATCCAAAACAGATAATTCATGAAACCCAACAGTAATTTTAACAGTAATATTTTCAATAGGACTCTGTCTAGAAACGTTCCAAATTCGCATAACGCCTGACTCAGTATCTAAAATAGACATTAAATGATTTTTGTAATCACGGTTATTTTGTACCAAGTTCTTGGACTGCATATAACCAAATGCAATACTTTATACATTATAATTCGTAAAAGTTTTCATATTTTTATTAACTGGCACATCTACTACAGAAGTATAAATGGAGTAGATTACGAACAATATCGGACGGATTCTTTTGCAAAATATTTTTTACATTTTTATATGTTTAATTTTTTCAGTTTAAACAGCATTATACGCTATCATGTCCTAAAACATAAATAAGAAAATAGTACGAAAATACAACCAATTTCCAGTTTTACCTCCTGTAACAAACATTCCTGGAGCATTTTTTAGCCAAGCTAGCGTATGAATATGTGCTGAGGAACTTGGAAGCTTGAATTGCATCAGTACTGTCAACGAACGTGAGTCAATCAGTCTAGCACCAGTAATAGCGTTAGCAACAAGCAAATAGTCATCGGAAAGGACATCCCATTCCACAGATATTACCATATTTTCGGCACTCTCTTGAGTACTTTCTGGCATTAAACAATTCTTTTGGCACTTTCTTGACTGATAGAAAAATGATAATGATCCATTAAAGTGGCCAAATGCTAAGGTATTTTTTAAATGGTTATGCCAACGAAAATGGGTTATCCTTGATACAAAATTACTATCTTTGTTAAAAATAACTGGGTAATTAGATGGACAGCTGCAATCCCATCGCATAAACGATCCCGAATTAAGAGCTATCGTGACGATATTCTTGTCGTGTGGATTCCAGGCAATCACAGCTGGTAGAGCACTTCCTTTTAGTTCTACATTAGCAACGATACTTTTACTTGCTACGTTCCAGATATAGAGCGTACGATCAGTACTACAGCTGGCAATAATATCTGGGTCGCGTGGATTCCATGCAATAGATGTAATCGTCTTTTTATGTTCAGACATAATAGAACATAACATATATTCATTGTATTGCTGATTTAGCTATAAATATAGAAAAAAGAAAAGATAATTAGATTCTCGTATTACAGCTATCCGAACCTAACCAATCTCTTCAAATATAATTTATTTAGGGAAGAAAGTTAGATATTTACTTTGGGAGCATAATATTATATATATATATACTTTCTTAACGTTCAATTAATTCCATACTACATGAAATATCGATTTTTTAAAAGATAGAGGAAGTCGTTGCCTGCATAGTTTAAATAATTCAACTGCATGGTACTCGTGCATCGTTGATGTGGTCAAGATACATGAGTACATTCTTTGCTTGTTTTTAGTACATTTTAAGGAAGTTGACTGATATTGAAGGCTCATAAAATTGTAAATTGCAGAATGAGGGTTAGCTGTTATATTATTCGTCCTGTATTTTCAGTGGTCTTTGTTCCAGAATATTGCATATTGAGATTATGAAAGGCAGAACGCCTTTTTGTCTTCTTATTATAACAATAAAGGAATTATTAAATCGTATGTTTAAAAACTTTTGCCGTCAGTTTCGAGTTTCTCGGGTCTTAGCATTAATATATAACTTTTATGTATTGGAAAGAATACATTACAGGAATTTAATTCATTTAATTAAAGCCAATTAATAGAAAATAGCCAAACCAAGATAATAAAGGGAAAGGTTTACATGTACCTATGCTTAAATGTAACGTTTATGCAGCAGTTAAGCTTGGTTAGTCTATTATAAAGACCATCATGAGGTACTATCTCATAACCATCGTAGATGTAGCAACATATTTAATAAGGGAGTTACTAATAAAAGAGGATATCGGAAGCTCGATTAGCAATAGGGTACAATCATCATTATAATTCATTCCCAGGGAAAAAACACTTTGTTTCCAATAGTGGTAGCGACAATAGAAAATAATCGTAATTATCCAAACTCAAGTCTTGCTACTATCGCTAGTATTGAAACTTACATTTCACTCAACGAGTATACAACATCTGATGCAGCAGCAAAAGTATGAAAGGCAACAAAATTGGCTAGAGATTGTAATTGAAATGATCATTATCCTTTTTTTTGCTACAGTTCTTATCCGGAAGAGAGTATAATATGCAGTACTATGATAAAACTACTTAAAAGAAGAATGACCAGGAAAAGGGCATAATCGAATTTAAGTAATCTATCTCGGAAAGAAACGGAAACTGTTACTGTACCATAACGCAAAAATGTATGCATAGGTTGTATGCGAGTTTACTCAAAATTTTTAGCTGGAATATTAAGTTTTGATTGCGGCGAGGTGGCATTCTTATAAGATTATTCTTAACATATTGTATGTAATACATACGTAGAAAAGCATCCATATCTACATTTATATTTTATTGTATTGTAAAGGAATAACAGATAAAAAAATGCTGTCGTTGCTCTATTAAATTATTAATAAATAGTTCCATTGGCTCGAGTACTCTCTGCCACGACGCGGTAAAGGTTTTAAGAAAATAGATCACAATCTTACGAAACAAGTATACAAGAATTATTTTTTTTTCCCCATATGTATTATGAGTTTAGAATACGTATATGAATGAAGACTACTATCTGATATGAAAAAATAATGCTGCTCGAAATGCTTGATATATACTGTCTGTAGCAATCTCTATCCACGTATAACAAGGGGAGAATCGAAGATGTTCACGACGAGATATATCATTGGGAGAGGAAAAAATTAACTCTTGCATATTTAATGGGTATTTGTTATTTTGACTTATTAATTCAATTCAAGTTAAACACAGAAATGGTGATCAGTCCAGAGTAGTGTTTGCATTATAATCACAGATCCACATTTCAAATCATTTTAATAGCAAGTATATTGACAATCGTTGGTAATGCTAATAGATCAAAATTGACTTTCTGACCGTATGTACTACAAGGTAAAGTACAGTATAAGAGATATATTTAATTCTTCTCAATTCAAATGAATCGGTAATGAATATACAGTAACATCTAATTTTATACTAGTATTTATTATAAAGTAAATAGTACATGATAGTCTGGTTTGGCGTAGTAGAGAGCAACTTTGGACTTTTCTTATCGAAAAATTATAGCAGTAATTTTCCCATTTTAAATTCATAGATAGATCGTATCATTTGACCCTGTGCTTATAATCATAAGATATACTGTAAGAGGTTAACTGTTAACTCTAAAAATAAAGTACCCTATTCTTAGATAAAATATATTGGAAAGGTACTAACGACATTAGATCATGCAATCCATCATACTTCAACGTCAATTCGCATCTTTTTCGAAATCATGGCAAGTATTTACTGAACTAGCAGTTATAGCGGCCCGAGTTAGGATTTGAACGATATTCAGTGCAATAAAATAATCATACCATTATTTAATCAGTTGTATTTTAGAAGAACGTCACATATACTGCTGAATTATTTTATTACTCTCTCACCGACTACAGTACAAAGAGTGCATTTATCAAAGTCTAATAAGATTGATTGTGCATTATAGTGTCTGACACATTGATTAAGTTGATAACAATATTTTACCATGAAAGTTGCCAGCTTACTTCATCACGATAAGATGACGGGATATATTTAATAATTACGCGTAGATCCAGATAGAAGATGCTTACTGTGATACGTCAAATGATTACTATACATTACAGTATCAACCGTGAGCGACAAAGCAAAATGGAGAACTATCTTTCATGTCTTTGCTTGACAAGTACTGTAATTATTTTCGCGTTTTGCTAAAATATCACTGTCTATCCGTAATATTTGTCAAAGCTGTGCAATATATTGTACATGCATCGACATGGATCGATAGCGGTTGATCTGTTAACTCCTGCATCATAGTTTAATGAATGTATTACAGACAACATGATCAGTGAATCTCTGATCGCTTGTCTAAAATAATAATTAACTAGGCCGCTTGTTTAGGTTAACTACAGTAAATCGTGCACTCTAAGGAAATTTAAGCGATAAAAAGGTTATAAAATGAAATATTATCCGATTAATACTATACAAAGGCGTAGCCCAATGTTCGATAAAGTGCAACGTGGATGGCTTTGATCCGTGTCATGTATTGGACCACAACGCATAAAAATATCGATATTTCCTGAAGATCGACGTATTTCAGTGGATAAATTGCTATTTCATTTTCGGAGTGAAATTCTACTAATACTCTAATACACTCTATGAATTACACGATATAAGCATATCCTCTTAATCGGAGTTCATTCATGATATTCACTCATTTGTGCCAAAATCATGTAAACAAATGCGATGAGTACAGCAGATCGAATTCCATTACAACTACCGTAAACGGTTGTTTCCATCACTAAGCAGGCTTGAACACTAATAACAGACTGTATGTTGGCGTTTGCCTGAACATATCCTATTCTACGCCATATTTCATCTGTTTTTACACATGCTGCATCATATTTATATCAGTGATTGATTCATTATGAAATAAGTTGAAAAAGGATCAATAGAGATTTTAGCGGGGTGTTATGGATACGTTCTGTGGCCTTTTGTCGACTTTTCCGTCAATATCATAAATAAGAGTGAAACAGGCAGTGAATACAAGCGATCTACCCCCATTTATTGGCAAGCATTTCGTTTGTTCGGTTATGATTGTCAAAATTGAAATTTAGAAATGAGGAATGATTTTTACGATTGTACGCGTTTGCATCTAGCGATTGATTATGTTTCTACGCGTTTCAGTTGAGCACGTAGAAGGGTGGCAAATTACTGAAGAGAACGATCGTTAATTACCGTTAATTGACTTAACCAAAATAGTACATTTATAAAGATAACTTAATCGATGATCAAGATAGTTAATTTCATTTGCAGTCAACTTACCTCGTAAATATAGATTGCAAGGGTTGCACAATAAGCAAAGCGATTGCCACTTGCTGAGCAAACATCACGATTCCATGGTTGGCAACCGGCCGCCAAAAGACCGACTTGTCTAGCCATGATGATGGTAGTATAGGTTTAACGGATTCAATGGATAATAGGGCGAAGAAGATGCAAGGAAGTAGCTAGTCGTTAATCTCGGCTAGAATAAGGCTTGGAATAGAATACTTTACTAAATGAAGCAATCCGCCACTTAAGACAGTAATGGACATCGCATGATTGGGATATTAGCCTCCAAATTAGAAGTATTCTATTACAATATGGACGTTGTGGGGAGGACTTGTAGGCGTTCGTTGTTAGGGAAAACGCGCTACACGGCTACAGTACCGCACCGCTTTCCAGAATCGGTACTGTACTGTACCGTACCGTGCTGTACCGTACCGGATTGTAAACATTACAGTGTACAATCCACAGCAGACCTCTTCTACAGTACTGTACTGTACACTGTACCGTAAAGGACTGTAACGAGCAGCACGTAAAACCATTGGGTTAATCATGGGATTAATTAATTAATTAATTCATTTTCATCTTCTGATTTGGAAGGCTTGATGCCGGCTGTATCATTCATTGAACATTGGATCGCTGAAAAAAATCTTTGCTTTACTTGTGCAGTTGTAAACGAGTCTCAAGTCTACTGTTTACGGTAACTGGCTGCAGTCTGTTTTCATTTATATTGACGATTAATTAATCAATCAAGGATTCCTTGGAAGAACAGAAAAACTGCATGACTAGCATACGCAGACTTAAGACAGTATGCTGAAATAGACACAAACTACTTGAGGACAATATAGATTACTATCAGTGTATCCTTTATTTAGTTTATTTAGTTCGTTAGTGCATTTATTATTTCATTCATTTTCTTTTTAAGCGATCATCCACCATCAAAAAAAAAAATGACATTATCACTAGCCAAATAGAACATTGGTACAAAGTATTTCTCGAGTCTTGGTACTGCTTTAGAACTTCTATTGATATTGACGTACCAACCATCATACGAGTATATCAATACGGATTGGTAATACTTATTGTATCTTTCAACACATTTCTTCTGTAATAAAACTAATTTCAAAATCGAATTTAAATTTGAATTGATGTGATGATCACTGCTTCTTGTTTGGCTATCCTGATACAGTACTGTACACTCTGCTGTACAATTAGCATACATATCTGTGTAAAATAGAGATGTCCTGCGTTACCACGGCATACGGAACGCATGTTAACGTACAGTTTTACTACGACACATGTTGTAGACATTGTTGCACAGAGCAAGTTAACCTTCAAGTTGCCGGTAAAACACCTGACGAGATTAAAACGATGCCGATGTACTGTACAGTCAGGGACTACTGAAGCAAGAAGGGTAAACATTTTTACTTGAGTAGTCCCTGGCAAAGTAGGCTGTCAGTAACTGTAGTGACAGCAGTTTTAACTAAGAGTAAGTAGAACTAAGTTGGCCTTTACATAAAGCCTTAGTCTAATTAAACGCTGCGCTTGAGGTTCACATTAGTACAGTACAATCCCTAATTGCAATAAACCGGTGCAAGTAAACTTCCAAAACAATCAACTGCCGGAATTTGGCAAAATCACTTTTTAGACCGTTGGAATTTAGAGCTTCCTTTTTTGTCGAACTGGGATCCTGTATCTACTATAATATAATCTAGTCCTAGATCAAGTGTGATTTTTCGACTTCTTTGCACAATTACTACTTCTAGATGTACACACACAGTATTTTGTCCTTTATTTTAGCTACAACTCGTAGCGATGTTCTATCCGTCCGGCCTGGTAACAGATCCAGAACTGCCTTCTATCATAGTATGTTTCTTGCATGGCTACTTCAGCCAATATGAGCGTAGCTTTCATGTGTGCTTAATTCCCTAGAGCTTATACTGTGATATTCTACCACACATTGATCCTGACTCGAACTACTAATGCCACAGAGGCAAAAGTAGGGACGACATAAGTAAAAAAATGACATTTTTCCAGTACTTGAGCGCCATAGTCCTCTGGCAAAAGCGTTGCCGGCAGAAATTCAACCTACAGTACAGTACAGTACAGTAAAAGTGCAGTACTAAGTACTGTACAGTGTGCATTTTACAGTACTGTATAAAAGCTCTTATACAGTACAGGACGTACTGTACTATACAGTGTCAGTGTACTGTACAGTGTTAGTGGATTTACAGCTACAGTACTATACAAGGAAAACGCTCATTTGTACCGGACTTTCACGGTACCGTACTCGTACTCGGACATCGGACATCGGGACGGTACAGTATAATACTCACTACGCGACAACCTAGCCATTAATTATTGGGTAATCAATAGAACTCAGAGTACGAGTATTACGTCCACCAATGGACTTGAAAATCCTCTTCGTCAATTGCAATTTAAGGTACCAAGTCTGAATTTGCTATTCATTTAAATTGCCTCAAATCAACCTTAGAGTAATATCATTATCAAGTGCTGTACAACAACTTTATTTAGTAAACTAATTGTGGATTCTATATCTTTACTTTTGCTAGTAAATTGGCAGTTTTCTCCTTATTATTTTTATTTTCCCTATTGTTATCCTTTCGATTGGATGAAACGATTGAATGGAGCTATTGGGTAGTATTTTTCCCTCTATGGCTATGGAAAACTCTCGCCATTGTAGGCGCTATGACCGGGATTGCTGTCTGGTGCAAGCAGCCTAATCATAGGTAAAATGAAGCTTACCCCTTATTGCCTAGAAGATTAGGAATGAATGACTGTTTTGTTATAAACCTTTTAGAGATTTAAGATGGACAGTGTCCATGATGACAGTTCAAGTTTTAAAATTTTATACCATTGGAATAACATATCAGCATGACTACGTCCCCAGTACACTTCCAAGGGCTATACTTAATAAATCATCGAGTTTCTACATCCCTAACATGTACTGTGATAAAATAATAGCAACAGATTAAGATACTTCCATAAAACCTACAATATACCGGTCATCTATGCCACCGGCTTCTTCTTTCAGAGAATTTTTCCTACTATTAAAACAGTAAAGATCACATGCACTACTGTGTGCACTATTCACAATAAAGTTTACACTTTTATCTTACAGATAACCCTAAATCGCGCGATGATAATATTTAATCCAATATCTTCGACGTAGAGTCCATCATACTTGTATATATACGCGTATACGGAGTATGTATTCCAGTCTAGTTGATGTAAAATTGATCACCCTCCAGGGTGCTATTGCAATTATCAGGATTCTTAGTTGAATTAACTACGAGACAAGTCTAGATATCATTTCTTGATTGTTGTTGGCATACAAATCATATGAAAGTAGTACAAAATAATCTTTATTTTGTTGTTTAAAGCATATCGTATTCGGTACTGTAGTTATATTATTGGACTTGAAACATGTATTCCACTCAAAAAATATCATAGTCAGTGCGGCGCGATATGCCTGAGTTGCCTGTATACAATAGATAATAATTAAGTATTATTTATTGCTTTCGGCTAATATCTACCCATCTTCTAGCTTGTGTCTAATGAGTACGTACAGTAACACTCGTACTTTATTTATTTGTGGATATATCAGTACAATATACGCGTATAGTGCGATTAAGAATTGGTGATCGTCACAAAATGTGACTTCGCCAAGCCTACAACTACCCAACTGTACAGTATTATAGAAGATGGCTGGCACTAGATTTCACATAAACTGCCAAAGTTTTACAGCTACAAATGATCCTATCAAATAGGCCTGAGAATGCGCAGATTGCTATTACAGTATATAGGTCAGCGTTGTGCTACATACCGATTTCATACACCAAATCTTGAACGAAAAATTTCCGTAATGTGAATACGTATGATGAAGGTTAGGCAATCAGTTCATACACGTATGATGTGATCAATATTGTCTCGCTCTGATTAAGTTTTAGCTTTAGCATCCGCCATTTTATTACTACAGAATTATTGCACTCGCTTTTATGAAATAGCAAATACAATAATGCCTTAATTGCCAACTTCTTACCATGTATTGATTATTATACCTATGTTGATACAATTGTACGTCAACTACCAAATTAAAAAGAAATCATGCTGTAGGTGCTTGCACTTGGCAACGCATCTTGTGATACACTTATAGGGAATTTTATATTATCATGAAAGTATTACAAGAATTATGTCCGGTTACTGCCATTTAGTAAATCCTAGAATATTGTTGCTATCATGTGGGATTGATGTACGGTAGTGAACATCAAAGTTAACGATAAGAATTTTTAATCCATTCATTTCAGCGCGGAAGATCGAGTACTATTCAAGTCTATGCTAATATCATTCTTCTTTATAATGGACCTCTTTGCATTTGAATTAATGCTGTGTGCTAATTTATCTGGAGCTGAAATTCCATTTCGAATTGTATTCATACCACTATTTTTAATCTCGCCTCTTGGAATTCTGGCTTGTATATGGGCATTTCGCAACGAAAGATCAATAGAAGTAATTGCACAAATATTACTCGCACCTTTCCATTTGTTTATGTATAACTGGTACAGTACTCAATTGAAAAGTTAACTTTTTAACATTAGTTATCATACTTCTACTTTTGTACGTATTCAACGTAAATTGATTGAATTAATCTTTATGTTTCACACTTAATTTCTAGTTTGAAACCTTGGTTGTCATCAACATTTTACAGTACATATTCCTAGCTTTGCAATTGGATGGGATCATCGATTGGCATTGGGTGGTATGTAGTATTTGATTAATCGATGAAATATAAATAAACGATGCTAGCTAAAATCAGGTTACTATACCTGAAAATGAATTAGTTTTAAATGTTAAATTATCGGATAAATTTAAAACTGTGCTATTTTCTCACTTAAATACATGTAAATTGTATTCCATGTCGTTAACTATCATTGAAGTTATCAATAAATGGTATTATCACATAGCGAGCGACATTATCATGATTATGATCCACTAATTCTATATTTATATTGTAGCATGTCTTCATTCCTCTTTGGATAGTTCTGGGCATGTTTGGGCTTGTTATCATCTATTACATCATATGGTCTATCATATATTTACGGTCAGGAAGCATGGGCGATGAGCAAAGAAAATACTATGTCTACTCTTCCATGTTAGCTACTGTGGCTTGGGCTTCGCTGCTAGCGTTCCAGGTACACTCACACACAAAATCTCCAAACAATGTTATTCACTTTGCACTTAACGTGATACTGATTTACTTATACTCGTCCAAATAGCAGCTTATTATTTTACATTAACTTTATAAAGGTTACATTAATACTAATTATCTCCATTTTATTGTCGCCTGTTTCTTTAGATTCTATTAAGTGGACGCCTCGATAAACGGAATAAATTTTATTTTTCGGCTGTTTTGGCCCCCTTGAATATTACATTGCTTACCATAGTTTTTTCGTCATTTGGTCAGAAAGGAGGCAATCCTTGTAAGTTACTTTGTTATATACACCTATTGCCTTTGTTATAGCTTTTAACGATTTGATTTAACTATGTGAATTTACTTTGCTGAATAATTTGCCAATTAGGGTGGTTTGGTTTAAAAGAAAATCCTTGGGAAATCTTACTAAATAAGTGTCCATGTCTTCAAGAGTACGGTAACGTTAAGTTTACCTTAGGATGGAGAACTTCTAGAGAGGAACAAAGCGATGATAGACCACAAAGGCAGAAAAAGCAGCAAAAAGAGAACTTAAGCAGTATCGGAAAGTGTGTTGTTGCGGAAGTTAAACTAGACATGCCGGACTGATTAAATCAATCTTTATTCGAAACATTGACATTACTTAGTAATAGATTTAAGAAATCTACAAGCAATCTCCGTCATTCTACAGTAACTGTACATACATTCTCACTTATTATCCATGATTTTGATTTCAAAGAAATCCTATAAATGCTACATTGAAAATTCGGAATAACAGACGTTATAAAGTAGCGAATTTTTAACGTACAGCTAGAGATTCCTGTTGTACGATTAATTTGTATACTATTTGATATTTCCGTGTACAGAATTAACATTGAATAACAATATTATACCAAAGTATTTGTCACCAAGCGATTATCCATGTATTAAATTTGCGGTATGCAGAACAGATAAATTAATTTATTGATGTACTGCTAGTTAATTATTGTTTTAATATTCGAGTGTCGCAAATAACTGCTATAGAAATGCATTATCAAGCTGCCTTAAAGAGTACATTTCTTTCGAAATACATACAATATTCAAGAAGTGATGTAAGCCGGTTTTACTTTTTCTTTTGAATCAATTCGAATAGAAACAGTATTCCTCAAAAATTAGATCTTGCGATCATAATTAAAAATTACATTTATACACGTCCAATTACAATCAGCTACTACTACTGCAGAAATTCTTAAACTGTTAGCTTTCGTATTAGTAACAGCTTTTATAAAGATTCAGTATGGCATGAGGAAGCCTCAATATTTTACACGGATGTCGAGTGAGGGTAAACGGATGACTAAGTACATAAATCACTTTCTTCTAGAATGTAAGATGTTCCTTAGGTTTACTGTAAAAATTTTTTAATGTCAAATATTTCAGGCATTCCTACTTATAAAATGGAGTTAAATTTAAGAAATGCTTTCATAGCGTAAGCTTTGGCATTGCGATGTCTTACTATTTCAAACAATACAGTAGAACTTTTTGTATCTCCATGATGTGTTCCAAAACTTGTGTTCTAACACGTAGGTGTAATAAGCAGTAAACAATCAGGCAAAGGCAAGGCCTGATACTGTTCTACTTTTGATACATTTTGCAATGGGAATACTATATATCCGACCATCACTTACTGGGCCAGTTCTAAAGTTTTGGATGATTTTAACTGCTTTTCGTAGGTAAAATCTTCCTATAAGGATGAAAAAAATTCCTAATTTAGAATCCTGAAATGTTTAACGTGCGAGTTGCAGTCTCTTATAAACATTGACAATACAGACGCAGATCTATGACTAATGGTCAAAAATTTATACGACGTACAATCCGCGATATCAAGAGCGCAACTTCACATCTCATTTCAGTAAAACTCTATACGTATATATGGTAGTACATACAGAACGTACGTATTATTTTATTTCATGCCACTTACCGGATCATAAATAACCCTGATAATTAAAGAGCAACTTGGACATCGAGCAATGTCTTCACCATCCTGTAGCTCTTCCTGTGATATAAACAATAGATAGAGATTTATCAAAAGCTCACGAAATGCATGTTATTAGGCTCGGTCAGGTAGCAACTACCTCGTGTTACTGTACAGAGCAGTATTGGAACAAAATTTTGAAGTCATCAAAAAATGATGCTGCATTACCAGACTACAAATACGGTATACGAATTACTTAATATCACATACTGTATAATGATTCGACTTTTTAGAGTAATTATAGCATAAGGGCGGTTTCAGGAATTTAAATAGTATGGTAAAATACAACAAGTATCAGGAGTAGGATATTAGACATGTAGGCCAGCTTACCGTTGCGATTTGAAATTGATCTCCACAAGGGCAAGGGTAGAAATATGTATCTGAATCTTCATCGTATTCGAAATCTTCAATTTCAATCTCGTCGTGAAAAATAGACATGCTTAGCAGGTAGATCACTTATTTAAGACCAAATCAACAATAGAAACTTGAAATTCTCAGCCTGTCACTTGATGTACACTGAGCTCCAATTCAAACACTGGAATCTCGAATAATCTTTTGCCAAGATATCCAATCAGAGTAGTGTCGTATATACGTCCAAAGTACCAGTGTACAGCACAGTTTGCAGTCTAACAATCAATCAATCTCCTATTCTAGCTTCGATTCTTGAGCAAACAATGTCTACTCATTACTTGTATCTGCTCACTAAATATGGTAAAGATATTGTCATCTCGAAGATCAATAGCAGTCAATAAATACTCCAAAAGAGTGCAGCAGGGGATTTGTGAGAATCACAATTCGCCTAGAGATGCACAATTCGACTAGAGATGCACAATTCGACTAGAGATGCACAATTCGCCTAAGAGATGCACAATTCGCCTAGGAGATGCACAATTCGCATAGAGATGCACAATTCGCCTAGAGATGCACAATTTGTCTACGAGTTGCGCGATTCGCCAAGCACAAGCCTCAGTACAGTATTAGGTGTACAGTACAGTACAGTACAGTACAGTAATTTTATGATTAAAACCATACAGTACTATTTACTGTAGATTATTATACTGTACAGTACAATGTAGAGTACTGTACACTGTACAGTACTATTTTCACAAACTCAGACTCGTCTTTAGACTCTGGAAGTAACACTATTTTAAGACTGTGTTTTTGCCTAGGACTTTAAATGTACAGTCGCAGGGGCTATTCAACAATAAATTGAAACGTCCTTTTAGTACTATACTCTATGTTGAAGCTTTCTGTTGAGTAAAAAGAATGAAAATATAGGGATAGTGTGGGTAGGGTCGAATGGCATAACAGATCCAGCACTCTAAAACGCCTATTGAATGCGTGTGCGCAGACTGACATCGTACTACACTGTATCCCCGTACTACAATACTGTACACTGTACAGTGTGTAAAAGAAAGTGAGCTCGCCCGCTTCACGGCTGCGTAGTGAGTATCTACTGTACCAGTATACTGTACAGTACAGCGTACAGTAGAGGAACAGCTACAGTCTACTGTATAGTATCTTGGGTTGAAATACTGGTACAAACTGTAGGTCACCCTGATGAATAATTTTGATCCATTTTTTACCTAAATGATGATGACCATGAAACAACTCTGCTAGAGAGGATAATAATTATGGACGGTAATAAAGCCGAGATCAAGTCAAATCTACAAATTCATCATTATCAAATTGGCGATCATGTGTTAGTGCACTGGCGTGATGGCATGTACTATCTAGGCAACGTTCGAAAGGTAAAGCCCAATAGCGGCTATGGCGTCCTACTGGTAGTTTATGCAACAAAATCAAATAGGAGTATAAAATTGATTCTATCGTGTTGGTAGTGGATGGTAGAGGATAGATTGGATATAAATCAATCAGTACCGAAATGAAAGATTGAGTAACATGGATTGAGTAGTTGCCATAAAAATGAAATGCATTCATTCAATGCAGGACTCCACTACTACAAATGGGCATGGTCACAAGTGCACAATACAGTACAGTCCATTGCATGCAGCTTAGCTTGATCTTACTGACTTACAGTACAATTCGATATAAGGATTACAAAAGTTGTCGTACAGTCCAGTGCATACAGTTGAGCTTAATATTACAACAGAATTATAAATGAAAGTTAGATTGATGCTTTCTATCGTAGCAATTGACAACAGCATTATAGCTGTATATTATACACAGTGCACCGCTTGCAATTTTGCAACACCTTGAACACAAACGTGCGTGAACATTACTTTCCTATGTAAACTGTTACTATTTTAAAACTATTTGATTAACGCGTCACCGTTTTCCATACTCTACTCAAATAATGTTCTTTTCAGTAACCGATATATTTCTAAAAGTGTACAAAAATATATAGGATAGCATATGTCTTCCAACAGTACAGTATAGTAGACATCTAGAGTTATAATCGTTAAAGTGTAATACTCGTAACTGGATTGGCAGAGAGATGATCCTAAAATCCACTAATGTAGTATTTCAGAGCCTAAATACTGTACACAACAGCCTACGACCCATAGGTTTTGTCCCATTTATGACCGTCAGGTATTCTTGTACTTTCAGTTACATAACATAAACTATGCTCATACCATATATCATAAGCACTTCTTCACCTCGATAATTATCAAACATTCATCTTTATCAGCAGTTAATCATATCTCGCTATCGTAAACAGTGCTCTGATAAATCATGGACGCTGAAGCTTGTAGCTCTAATCTGCAGTTATATCGTAAGTTCATGATAAATCTGAGTTGCCCTACGGTCCAGCGTCTCCAAGATGAACGCTGTAGCTAATTGCTAATTTTGTTAACTGTAAGTACTTGTACTGTACTTCTGATTAATTATACTCGAAAACGATTAATGCTAGGTAATACAATATATCTGTATTATTACACATCATAAGCTACTATGGGGATCTTCCTCTAGTTGTCTACAGTATGTACACTATCGTACAGCACTATTACAAGAAGTCATCCCACTACGTATTTTTCCAGCTTGCTTTGATACTTTATACTTAAAATTTGGTAAATATAAATTGCATTTATAATATTAAAATATTTACAAATCAATTCCCGTAAGAAGTTAACATTCTGCTATTAGCCATAAACTGCAATGCATACCATAAACCCTTCTCACAATCAGGAATATAAGCAACAGTTAGAACATACCAGTACAGCTCTACGCATCTTGCGTAACTAGTAATATAAGTAGAAAATGGAGTGCAACTCCTGAGGTGTCGATGTTGACATTTATGAAATAATGATAATAACATACTGAATTGGCTTACTCACATGCGTTAATTAATTTAATTTCATAATCACGGTAATGCATACACGAATGCTAAAGTGTGCTTGCAGTCAATACTATGTCGACTGGAAGTTTACTCATATTGTATCGAAAAACAGAAATATAATCCAATTTTTACTAAATTTAACTTATTAGTCAAGCATAAACAGAATTAAATTGTAAAAACTACAAAGAATTATTCGTATTTAAATAGCAGAGTTATGTACTGTTAAGTTGCAGGTTTACGGTTTTTTCTTGCAGATGAAAAATTTTAGAGCAAGTATCAATTTAAAATGTAGCTGTCTGCTTACTCTCCATGTAGAATATATATTACCGGCTATATGAGTTTACTATGTCGTTAAGCTTGTCGATTGCGACCTTTTTAATTTTATGAGCATATTTTTAATATTAGACAGATTAAAATGTATCTTGTTAGAGTACCAGAAATAAGTAATTGAAAATAATATATCTGTTCTAATTAGGTTAATAAGAGAGATCGATCATGCTTAGTGGAATTTGAAGATGCTTCTATCCATTCAGCTCGTTATCACCATCTACATCCAGGTAAAACAAATACTGATGGTACGGTAATGTAGGTTATGTCGTCTGTAAGGACCTCTAAGATGAAATAATTAAATGAACACTTATACAAAAATATTATGATTTCGATAATTCTCAGCTTCCATTATAGCCACGGTATTCATCTATAGTGCGCTTTGTTAAGTGTTTGCAGTTTTGTTTGAGTTGATAACGCATAATTTCAGGCAATGTCAATTCAGACAATCCAAATTCTTAATAAATAAAAGATATAAAAGAATGTGTTAACATGATTAATTGCAGAATTAAGTAAGGAAGCTTGTAAAACTTGTCATGGAGAGGTATCAGAAGTACCCAATTTGATAGTTATTTGCGATAATTGCGACCAGGGTAAGTATAAAATTTATGTTAAGCCTAATTTGATTATTCATAAAGTTTTAATGGTTGAATTCTAATTTATTTGTATGCAGGTTATCATCAAAAGTGCCATATACCCCAAGTCTCAGATAGCTTACTTAAACCTGACATTCAATGGATATGTAGATACTGCATATTTGGCAGTGCTATGAAGGTAATATTCTGTTGTAATTAGAACAAGCCATAAAACAATTCCTTACATTACATTCATTAATTGAAACAATTAGGCTGGTGGAGCTCTAAAGCATGGACCCAAAGGTAAGTTGTATCTAATATTCTAACTAGCCATTTACAGGGTATAATGCCATTAAATCAAACAATCGATGCCCATAGTTGTAAGCATATTAATATCATTTGGTGTTCTTCTAGCTCGTGCTCTTCAAGTGCTCAAATCTGAATTACCGTATGAGGTTAATTTAAGCTAAATTTCATTTTAGCCATAGATTATAATTTTTGCCAACAGCTAATCAATGCGACTCTGTATCTAGATTAGTACACTACGCTGGGATAAGAGCCATCTTACTAATTCTGAATGCTTATATTGTTACTGTGGTGGTCCAGGATTGTAAGTGTAGATAATATTAACATACCTAACTCCGCATCGTTAAGTCTAAATTGTTTGCATCTCTTTCTACTCGTTAAACTCTTATCCATTATTAGATGGTTTAATCGGATGGTACAATGTTGCAGATGCAGTCAATGGTTTCATGAAGGTACAGTTAATTTTCTTATCTTCTCATTTGTTATGGCGGATTCACTGACAAAAGTATTGAGAAACTAGCTTCTGTTAATTTTATCTAGCTTGCTTACAATGCTTAGATGGCCCTCTCCTATTAGGAGATAGGTAAATTTTATTACTAATATATTAAATGATTAAACAGTGCAATAACACATTTACTGGGTAATCGTACCAGTACCTCAATACTTGTAATGACTGCTAATCACTGCAACCAAATTTTTACAGGTACTGCATATTTACATGTTCTGTATGTCGTAAAGGCTTGGAATCTTACGTAAAATTACCTATTGATATGTAAGTATTTACTTTTAGCATGCATTCAACAACTGTGATAATTATCTATCAGTTCCACTAATTAACCTCTCCTTATTAGGGAAGACTACGTTCATCTATCATTATACAATTTAACAAGAAACAGTAAACATAGATATTTCGACATCGAAAACTCGATAATACCTTTCATGGATAATAACAAGCAGTATGTTAAATTAGATAAAAAGGTTAGTAATATACATTATTTCATCTACTATCATGTTAATAGTTCTTTTATTAGTGGTTTTATATATCAAATTAAACAAAAAAGGTTAGTATTATATGTATAACTTTTCCATCTATTGTTATGTCAACATTTTTTGATTTGTACTATTATTGCCAGTTGTTATTGTGTTGCTTATTTTTCACTGAGTAAATTTGATATTGTTGCTAGTATTTAGATGTTCCATTAACTAGCCTTGTACGGTTAGTATATGAAATACTGAAGAAGCATTTACACGATAAGTAAGTGTTTTGTATAAATATGATTTATTGTGATTTCTTTGTTTTTACTTACTAAATCAACCATTTAAATTTAAACACTTTTATGTAGATACTGTATGGACAAAAGTGCTAAAAGATATAAATCTTGGGGCTTGCGTATGCTAATACCTCCACTACCTACGTCAAAAGAATATGAAGCTCATTACCCTCCAATTAAGTTTACTGATCATAAAGCACTGAAAGCTACAATGAAAACAAGAAAGAGCAACCCTAAAATGAGAATTATGCCTAAACGGTTAGCAAAATCAGATCGTACTCTATATAAATGCAATTTCTGTTAGAAAGAGGAAAAGATTTTAATGATTATCATGTAACTATATTACTAGCTTATGTTCCGAGAGAACTTTACTTGAAAATAATGAAGACCTGGCTGATAAAGGAAATCTTTCACAAGGTGGCCAACTGTCCAAGAAAGTAAAACGTCAGTTAAATCACGAGAATAAAATTGTAGATAATAATCGGCCGTTAAAACGAAAACGAAAAGGTTGTCGGCTCTCAAGCAGTAATACAAGTGATATGGCGACTTTTTACCAAAAAAGGGTTAATAATTCAGTAGAATATATCATGGCTAAAGAAGTAAACAAAAAGGGGCGCCGATTGCATAGTTATAAAAAATGTACAGTTTCTGCTCGTCGGATAACATGTGATGGAGAAGTGCAATACCTATTCCATTGGTAATTTTGATTTGTTTCATAGCCTAACTTCTTAATGCGATACATTCTTGAGTGCACTGCTACATATAATGTAGAGCTACAGACGAAATTTTTTTAGCTACTACCTTATATAAGTGGCTTGTTTCCATTGCAAACGTAATGGACTTTTTGTGACATGTACTCACTTGAATAGCATTACTAAGCAACTTTACATAAATTTAGATTATTTGTTCATTAGAATGGCTTCGATTTTTTATTTTAGCGTCGGTGAACATTGCGATAAAGGTAATGATCCTTACGGCTATCTCAAGAGTTGTCTAGTATCATATCTCTTGACAGTATAGAATGGTTACCTTTAAATGTGCATGGATGAAATATCTATTTAATAGTAGTGTAATGATCTCGTAACTGACGTAGTAAAAATTAATGCAAGAAACACAAAGTACTGTATAATATGAAATGCATTGAAACATTCACCGACGTTAAGCGTTTATGTACATATGAGTATACCTGTGCTGTTAACTAGTATTTACTCGATACATCTGCCGTTATTATAATGTCAACAAATTAAAATTTTACTGAAAGGGTTACCCATTGTAAGAGAAATTTAATATTAATAAAATAAAGACGAATCTTTCTACTAATTCAATATCGTGGATTATTGAAAGTGTTATATATGCTGGACATTTCATATCTATTAATTTTCATCAATGTTTGATAAAATTAATTTTACAACGAAATGCACAAGCAAAGCTCACACAGTCACTTGATGGATGAGACGCGGATCAATAACTGAAATAAAACTAAAATTTAATCGGTACTGTTACCGTAATTAGATCGAGCTGCCTAGATCTGCTAGGAAAGGAAGCTTTGGTATATTGGCAATAATACAGGGCTTGTACCGGTTTATACAATATTTAATCCATGCTATCAATAAATGGGATGCTTGAAATTAGTTGTAACATGTTTAATAGTAACAACATCTCTTAATCATGTACGATTTATAAGAAGTGCTGAAATCGCGTTACCGTTCATAAATTGAAAGCTAGATGGAGGCTCTTTATGATTCAGTATAGTGATATTTAGCAAGGTGTAGGGTCTGCTATAATCGCAATTAAATTGTTAGAGTTAAATTAGCAGAGAAGTAGAGTTTATTGGTATTAGTGGCACATTTATTGCAAAGGAAAACCGTATGAGGTTATAGTGTGTACAACGACGCGACTAGTCGAATAGCTAGTGACGTAGGATAGGTAAAGCATGCTAGCTCACCATGTAACTAGCAGAACTAACTAAAGGATAGATCTAACATTATCGCTTTTACAATGTAAGAAGCACAGAAGGAGGAGATTATTCGTAAAACAATAATGACTATTAAGGGTAGCTTAATTCTATATTAGGGTAGTGCTACGATACAATCAAGCTAGAGTACAAGAGATTTGCACAGTATGAATAATTAAATGTAGATTATACAAATAAGGAGTTATGTTACAGTCCATATAGAAATTAACTTTACTAAGAATAAACTATACCGTATTTAGAAGTATACACTACAAGCATCATACAGAATCAGTTTCAGCAGTTACTAGTCCAAACTTCCATCGCTTTGCTGACGGTTTACGATAATGTACCCATTTATTAATAATTAACAGGTAGTATTACCATTCGACATTATATAGATGCCGGTAATAGCCGAGTACTACTATATTTAAAACAGATTGATTTAATGTACGTACTGATCGTGCATTTCCACGTTATTCACTTCGCTTTCGCCTATCAGATCGCTGACTAACTGACATTATCCTCTTAGAAACACTTTTTTGTTATATGATATATAGTAATCAAAAATAGCCGGGACAGGGGAACTACAGTAGGGTAACACTACGAAATGCATGAGAGCAATAGAACTAATAGTACCTTCTAATGTGTATCAATCACTTCTACCTTCTCAATAATATTTACATAAACCCTAGAGATCATTCATTTCTATACCAATTCAAATTTCCTTTAAGTAACTTTCGTATTAGTATGTTTACCGAATAAGGATGGTTACTATATACAGTATTAATGCTATGTTAAGGTTGGTAAGCAAAACTGTCTAATATACGTTTATGCTCAATTTGTTAACAAAATTAACAGATAGCATTATCATTCGATATTATATATATCCCGGTAATAGTAATGTACTATGCTATATTAAGATTAGTTAATAATCCAAAGCGCATTATGATAACTAATGTACGGTGATGGACATACCTAGTTAAGATTAGCAGGTACTGTAAGATATCTACAGTGCGGTACAATGTCCATAGTACTGTGGTCAATTCTATACCAATCATTATAATGTGTCTAAGGATCGCTTGCGTATGCAAGCACAGCTTGCTCTGTCAATAACAACCGTTATAAGAAAATGTAATAATCAAAATGGCTATGTAGAAAACACTATAAAGATTCTATGTTTATTCAATTTTCATCAGAGCATCACATCAAATCAAAATTTAAAGCAAAACTTGCTCTGTCGATAACAACCGTTATAAGAAAATGTAACAATCAAAATGGCTGTGTAGAAAACACTATAAAGATTCTATGTTTATTCAATTTTCATCAGAGCATTACATCAAATCAAAATTTAAAGGCCTAGTGGCCACCCTTAGCGATATAACGAGTACTATTTCAAAAATTAGTACTCTGTAGAAATTACTACCTTAGAGCTATTCGTTTTACATGAAGAAATCTTGAGGTAAAAAGTACTGTAAGAATCTTATACTGTCCTATTGAAATGAACCCATAATCAGAGTCATCTAACAGTAGTATAAATACCTAAGAGATTTACGAAAGATCGTTAAGCATTTGCAACGAATACGCATAATTAGACCTTTGTATTCATGATAGCTAAAATGCTTAAATACTGCAGGTAGTGATAGATGAAATTAATGTTATTTATTTATTCACTAAACAAAGCATGCATTCATTAGCTAGCATATTTCATGGCTAATTAATTATACGAATCTTTTGCTGATTCGTAATATCATAATAATAACATTATAGTAAGAATTTTGGTTTAATATAATAAATAATTCTAATTTGTATTACGTTAGTTAGTTTACTTAAAATAGAAGCTAAAAATAATATTTGCAACCATTTGATATATAAAAGTTGTAAATAAGTACATCATAAATTATCTCTAGTAGCTATAATTAGATAATAGGAGCTAACAGAACTAAAATGCAGATATCAATGCACAAAGACTTAGTGAACAAACACGGGCAGCTGATTAACCTCTAACAGCTGCAGCATTAATGTAGCAAAAATTGAAATTTAATTCCCGAAAATTTATTACTTTTATTTACAGAAGGGATATAATATCTATAAATTAACAGCTCTCAATTCGCGGTACATTCTTACAAACTGTAATAGAGTCGAGCTTGAAGATGTAGCTGAAGTTTTTATCCTTTTTTGCACGACGCTTAGAACCAGATCAAAAAATTTATTAAGAGAAATGATTCTTCTATGGAAAGTTGGAATTAATGCTTGAATATACTAGTCATAAACCGGATTTTAGATTTCTGAACTCGACCTACCCCTTTATATTCACAAAAATAAGTTTTAAGATTCATTCTACAAACACTGTACACAGCGCGATAAGTGAAACATTTGCTATAGTAAATAAAATTTGCGTGATCGATTGTCACCGAAAAAACCCTTTATGGCAGAATATCTGTTCTTAATTGAGTTAGAACTACGTTAACTTTCTATCCAGATATTTGCATATATCAAGTGATATTTTGAGCAAGCTATTCATTACTTTGAGCATTTTAAGAACGCACTAAACGGCATAGAGCTTCAATAATTTCCATATTGCGCAAAATAAACTCAGCCAAAGTTGAAATTTACTTTCCATGCCATTCTTCATTAAAAATTAGACTACTTCCTTCCTATTTCAGGTATGTTTTCTTGAACTAAGATAAAAAAGGTGCTAAATACTCTAGTAACAAAAAGTTTTTCATAAATGGTTAGGTTAAGTCACTCTATACTGTCGTCATTGACAAAAGAGCAAACCGATCTATTCATTCATTGCTGCCCCATCGTTAAACTATGCTACGTTTATCAAAAGTAGAATGAGAAAGAATAATTTATTCAAACTAAAATTTGGGATTATTTCTTTGATTACCTCAACTTTTTGAGAAATTTATTGATACTTACTACAATGTTATATCAAAACAAATTAGAGTAGTTTTCTACAAATATTAAAATTCGAAAGTTCCATAAGATAATTAGTTGTAGTCCTAATCAAGATATCGAAGAATCTAAACGATCGTGATGAATATTTGCCATTCTTATTTAAGCAGTACTAATGCTAATAAATATATATAGTAAAAATTCTCACTAATTAGATTTCCCCGCTACTAATTCGTTTTGGGAGAATTTCTATTCTAAATTTGTCTGTAGTGAACATAATACTAACACTATGAATTGATGACTTAATTAGATTACTTACCATTCAATAAATAATCAAATTACCTCACGTGATATCTTTTAATTAATTATAAGGGTGTGAGTATAGGCATCCAGGAATATATTTTGCACGTATTTTAAATCAAACTTATAAATTCAAGACTAAATTTTTCATTCTAAGGCAGAAAATTATGCCATTTTATAGTAAAATGATAAAGCAGCGTGCTGAACTTAGAGATAATAGAAGTAATTTTAAAATTTTAGTGGAAAGTATACGGTAGATTTTGTTCTTAGTCTAGTTCTAACATGAAAGTGCTTCTGTATGACAATCATCAAATCTAATGTAAGAACAGTACCGCTAGATTTTATTCCACGAATAACCAGAATTAGCTACATAAGACGATACGACTTCCCTTTCATTTCTGTTTAAGAACATTAAATATATTTTTTATACCTTATATTATTAATACAGTAGTAATGATATTAATCTTCTTCAAAATTTACTCGGATTGCCTCACAATGCTTTAACAAGTAAGAACTTGGACTGTTATGCTCGTTTATAGCGTAGAGTAATTGCCATCATCTAATCCCGTATATCATTACACGAAACTATCTTATAGTCGTTGACTTTCCTTATTTCATGAACCATAAGCAAATTCTTTGTTATCAGCATTCAACTTTAAATACTACACAAGCAATAGTCAGGTCCTAATTTATTAGCATCTTACAAAAATTTTCCCATTGATTTTTAGCATCGAAAGTTAAATACTACAGTCAGTAAACTTGATTTTTGGATACTATATTACGTGGTATTCACTATAAGAAGTACGGTAATTAATACGGTAACATATGCGTCTTATTAAGGCGAGGCAGTAGGTATTAATTTGATAGACTGCCCAATGAAGTGAATTCTACATCAATATAAACACCATTAACTATCATAGCTATCTTATAAACAGCCTTATACAACAATTGCTTCATCTTTTAATCAATAACAGCTATACAGAATAAATATATTAAACTTTATTCACACTTAAGATTCTAAACAAATCATATTGGATAAAACATTACCATAGACTGTCTACCTGATGCAATACTAAACAGAGTTCTAATTTCACAACAGTTCGAACTAGCTGCTAATTTATTTTCAGGCATATACGATATCCTAGAGCGAAGTTTTTATTTTTTTCTAAATGTTAATCTCGACATGAAATATAATCTATGTTGGCTTTCTTGTATACCATAATGAGACATAAATACGACAAGAGAAGGTAGTAGACCTTAGTAGATGCTGCGTTGTATGACTTAATTAAACCATATTGTAAAACGGAAATCAATACGCCAATCCAACAGCACTAAATTATTGCAACTGGACAGTGAAAAAAACTTAAATAAATAAAAGCGATGACGTTTCTAGCGTCCCTATGAATCAAAATAATACCTCTAGTGGCCATCTTGAGCATCTATATAGTAGTAATTATTCACACTGAATGGTAATTGTTCAATTTTGCTCTACATAATACTGCTGCAGTATAGACAGATAAAATAGTTTGCACACAAGGGCGAGAGGACCTTTATGCTTGTGTAATCAATGCAAACACTTTGGAGCCCAGTCCAACCCCTAGTGTTATTGTTACAATCCATGCCATACTATGAATATCCTTGTTCATTTTTAACTTAATGTTGAAGCTGAACAATTGGTTGGTATCAAAGAAGTTAATTTGTATTTAATAGTTCCACATTAAACTGGCATGCTGTGAGTTTTCAGTCAAGGAAAGAACATTTTCAACTTCATGTGATCGTTGATCATTGCAGAATTCGAGATAGGCATTGAAGAAGTATTTGGTAGAGCAATTTTGGATAGTTGAAACGCTTGGTTAGCGAATTCTATTAGGGAGAAAGCATTAGAATACAAACATCAATTTCTTTTTAACAGTCCGAGCTTGCATCACTCTTAGGTAAGATATTGATAGCTGGCTATTATCGATGACTTTTCCACCATTTTATGTTCTGATATTTACATATTGAGAGTTGGATAGATCCACACTACCTTCGAAAATAATCGACACGATTATTAAAACACGTTAATTTTAAATTATTGATCGCGTGGATGAATCTAGATCTTCTGAAGACTAAGCGTAGATAGGGACGTAATTTACACCCTTTAAAATGGTAACGAATTATTAATTGAGCAGCTTTCCAAAAGCTTCAGATTCTTTTATCTCGTCCAGCGCGTTATGGCTGGTTTATTTTCAGCTATAGAACGTTAATCATCTTTATTATTTCAATAACGAACTACAAGAGTTGATATTCTACAGCCACGTATCGATGTAAGTACTACGCCAATATCAATGACAACTTGACATTAGGCGTATCCTACCCATTAAAAGACGACCTTTCAGACAATTTTCAGTACATGCCTATTTAACTTGTTACGAAGACCATTATGGCTTCAATAGTCCATATGATTCTCTTTAGTAAGTTAAAAATTAACAATCAATACTAAAGAATAAAAATAAAACTTAGTTGTACAGATTTTCCTTCTTACGATTGCCATTACAAATTGATTTGCCATCCCGTAAATCTTTAATCATCTTTAATCGTTTCTTGCCGTTGAAGATGCTTTTCATTGTACCCAGCTAGAATTTTAAAATATAGCACAATTAGCGAAAAACAATGTAGTTATACTGATTTCTTGTTGGCAGATCTTCAACTTTTCATAATCTCTTCTGAAACTAGCCTCCTTTAACATTGGTTAAGTTACTTCATTTCTCTAGTACACGTACGACAACTGCAGTTTAATACTGAACCTTCAAAACAGTTCGCTTGACTAATTAAGACCAGTAATAAGTATAACATTACAAACTTTTAATCTATTGCTTCAAATGATTTTTGGTGCTGAAGCAAAGGATATTACAAATGAATTAGGATAGAGACTGTAGGAAATCGCTGATCGAACTAGCACAGTGGAATATCTATTATGATATGCTTCGATATTGTCGACATTTTAGAAACTTTTAATTTTGGATTACTTTAAAAGCGTTAACGACTAATACATGATAATTACTTTACCTGCCAAAACGAATTTTACTTAGGGAATAGTTCAGGAATGAAGGCATAGTTTGGTCTTTATAAAGACTACAGATAATTTTCAGTAACTAGAAATGACTACTTTCGGAATGATTACGATTTTATTGATATCCTCGATAGATGCTAATAGAATAAGCGGGAAATCCGTTCCGAGTAAAATGCGGAAATTATTGTCTTATCTCTACCGAAGCCATTATTCACATTGATCGTATTAAGGATATCATGGTAGAAATAGAGTAGTTGCTGTCTAAGTTGACAGATCATTCTTAAACCAAAAATGCCTACTTTGAAAATGTTTCATTGCCATATTCAAGAAGTGTAGTTGAAGTAACCTGTAAAACAGCTACAGTAAATTGTAGAAATACTTTTTCCTATGCCATATTTACTGAAAAAGATGATTATTATCGACAATATTGAGGATGCCATGACAAAGTTATCGTAATGGTTAACAACAGATTGTCAATTATCAAATAGATGCGGAATATTTCTGCTTGCAATGTTTGCTATGTACCCCCTAATATTGGAATGATTTCAGGCTAGTAGCAAGTAGTTATCGCTAATTTATTTGAAATATCGATTACTTAGCCCATCGTGCTATTAATTGCAGCAGGAAATCAATACTAAAATAGTCTTTTGCTATCACGAAAGATAGACACACGGTACATCCAATGTATTAAAACACTAGATTCTGCCCTAAAGTTTAGCTGTCATTGTACCCCATCAACAAACTCTTTTTCAGATCATTCCCTAGGTCATTATTGGTAAAGTATTGCAACTATTGCAGCTTCTCTAACAATAACATTCATCAACAAAGTAAGGACATGATTGAAACAAGGTAGTAACATGGTTGTTAATATACGACAGTACAATAAATGCTTATGCGTTGAACAAAGAAATAACTACTTTGAAATATGGGCTATTACATTGCTTTCTATATAAAATTCGCGATGTTATAATAAATAAAGTAGATAGTTAACCTATTATAATCATTTTATCTTTGCAATAATGAGTTTCATAATCAAAATAAGAGCATTGTAATTCTCATGCATAGCAGCAATAAATAGAATGCATCGTAAACGTGTGTACTGAGCAAAGAGGTTGCTACAGTAACAAAATAGTCTTAAATCTACTTTTAATCTACAGTAATAATTCATCATTTTCATCTATGGAATAAGAATTGATATCTAAGAATGTTTTAACCGAAATAGAAAATCAATAGTAATTAATCGGCAACATATAATAGTAGGTGAATACGCATAGAACTAACATAGACGATATAAAAGGTTGGCCGCAATTTTGCTACTCTCGAAAGAAAGTTGCTTATATTTCAATTACGTATATAGGAGAAAAAGAGTACAGCATAATAACATAAATGTTTCCTTTCATCCGCTGAAAGAATGATTTTTCGTCGATGAAATAAGAATATTATGATCATAAAAGAGTAACAGTAGTAACTGGCATAGATTTTACAATTATGTAACCAAGAGAAAATTACCCTATCTGAAATATTTGTTACGATTTAACTTGCATTAATAGTAACCGGTTGTCTCTAGTGCGTAAGCCATGAAGTTGTAGTTGATCCTTTTTGAATCATGTTGTTAATGAAATAAGAATATTGTGACCATCGAAGAGAACCGTAACAACAGTTAATTGTCATAAATTTTACAATAACGTAACCTACAGGAAATCATCTAATCTGAAATATTTATTGCAGTTATCTTGCATTAAAAATCAGTTTTCTCTAGCACTTTAGCAATCGTAGATACTCTATTAATCATGTTGTACAAGTTTTTATTTATATAAGCAAAATCTGATCAATATTTTATTATATGGATATATGACAAACATTCTACTAGTATAGTAATAGCAACAATCCAAGTTTTGACGCAGATATCTTTGGATAGGTTTACTATACTAAGTCATTTTCTTGCTTAAATGCAATACTTTAACTTTTCTACACACCTTTTTCTTGATCACCACAATAGATATCATTGATATAGAATTAAGTTTCCTTTTCGACGAAAATATTTCAAAGAACAGAGCATTTTCTCCTTATCGCAGAATTAGCTGCCGTCGGTTTGATTAAGGTGATATTTATTAACTGATCGAATTTAGCCCAAAGGTAGTATTCACACCGGTTTGGTAATGTATAATTAATTTAATTATTGAAAGTGTTTTATTATATTAATAAGGATAGGGCAAATGAGATAACGAATCTCTGTGAGCGGATACCTCTTTCACGATAAATATTCAACATACAGACAGATCTTGTTGCTAGATTGGGTTAGAACTCCAACATGGCTTCAACAAAATGGGGTTCAGCTTTAAAGAAAGCAGCAGCTGAATCTCGTGCTCAAGAATTAACATCAGGAATTAATCTAGCAGGACTGGACACTGCTACACCAGAATTATGTTTGAAATTAATTCGCCAACCGTCCGTTCAGAACTTTACAGCTCTGAAAAACTTTTTATCGCGATGCCAACAAACATGGATGATTCAATTTCTTGAAATTGAAGGGCTAAATGTTATCTTGGAAGTCCTAGAAATACTGTGTGATCGCGGTATCTCTAGTGTAATCGATGCATTTATTCAACTCGAATGTGTTAACTGTGTCAAAGCCATTATGAATTCGTCCGCTGGCATAAATTACATCATCAACCATCGAGAATCATCACGAATGTTAGTCAAAGGTAATGTTGCTAGTAGTTTTCTTTATCAATTTTTTTCATTAGTTTCTTTTATTGGTAGAAGTAGAATGCAGTAACCTATCGTACTGTATACTTCCACAAGGCATACTCTATAATTCTAAGTTTATAACACACAATCGTTGCAAACCGAAGTTTGTGTGACTGTAAAATCACAAGTTTTCGACAGGAAATGCTTTTTCTAGTAAATTATCTACTGTACGGTTTACTAACTCTGCCAATCTCCTTTCGTGAAAAGTTACAATTAACTTGCAGATAGGAGGTTATGATTATGCTGATATTATTTTTAACCCTATCTATTCCTCGAACTGATTTACTTTATTGTTACTAGCGTACTAGGATAAACATCAAATTCACTACAGTTATAGCTAGCGCTGCAAATATTTCAATATATATTAGAACTTGCACACAAGAACGGGTTAATTTTATAGTAGCTCTTTTGGTAGTCAACTAGTGAAATGATTATCCTTTTCTGTTGTTTATATTATACCAATAAAGGTATAGAATGTAGAAATGTAAGGAAATATGTCTATACGATACGCATATGTGTATCTATAGCTAATTAACTGCATTAAATCAATCTTATCTATTTTATACGTACGCAGCATTTGATTCCGGAAGTGTTATGGTCAAAAAGCAAGTAGTCGAGTTGCTTTCTGCTGTTTCAGTTTATTCAGATGAGGGTTATGATATGGTATTGGACAGCTTGCAAACTTTTAAGGTAGGAAGAAGGTTCCTACTATAGTATGGCACGTAAAATACCCTCATTATTTCTTAATAATTAATAGGAGCAAATGTCTATTTAGTGAATATTGTAGTTACCATCTCAACTTCAAGTGATTCTAATTATCTTATACATATTTGGCTTACTGTAGGAAGAATACCAAGAAAAATCTCGGTTTAGCGCTATTGTTGATGAACTGAGAGAAGCAGAAGTAATTTCGTATCAAGTAGCTGTACTGGCATTAATAAATTGCTTAATTATAGCAGCAGCCGATTTTGATCAAAGGATTATGATCAGAAATGAATTCATTAGTTAGTCTTTGAAATCGTAGCAAATTTAAAGAATATTAAATAAGAATAAGTTTTTGCCAATTAACCATTAAACAAATATATGATGATATTTATTAATATGAATGCAGCAACTTTGAGTTAGATTTAAGCATTTTTTCAGTATCCAAATATTCTATTTTAATAGGTCTAGGACTATTGGATGTATTAACTAAGTTAAGGTAAATTCTATAATACTTAAAATAGATTCTGAATTACATATCTTGAAATTGTGGTAAATCGTAAGGTAGAAACTGATTTCAGAAGAATTGTAATTACCAAAAAAGTAATGAATTGAGATAATAACGAAAACTTTGTCATTTTGTCATGTCGAATGTATTATTTTAACCGGTATTCAATATCTATATTACCTAGTTAAGAAGATCATTTTCAAATCTACTTGCTATAATTATTTTAATATTTAGAGATTCTGATGACAATGATCTTCGAACTCAATTGGATGTCTATGATAATCGATATACAAATGACGAAGAAGAATTGTTAAACAGAGTGGATGTCGAAACTTCAACGTGCAATCATATGAGCTTGTTTAATGCCCTATATGGAAAGGTATAAGTACTCCAATTATAAATACTTATTTAGCAATATAAATCGGATTACTCAAAGTATTTTTAGCGTACGATACTTCCTACAAAGTTCGCTTAAATCAATTAAATCAAGGGTGTATATTAACGCAATTATGCTGTTTGCAATATTTTTACTACACTATCGCAATGCTTATTTCTCTGATTATTTTTACAGGTGCATGATAAAGCTAATCTCCTTCATTTACTCAAGAGTATTACATATCATCTCTATTCCATTCCAACCGATTCGGAGCATTCAGAAGATATCTGGCAAATTTTAGACTCGTTGATATTTGATGTGGTGAACAGCGATACTATCAAGAGCATCACAAGTATGAAGCAAAAAAATGCTGAAAAATTTCGAATTAGCATGGAGAAAGTGACTAGAACTACAGCTAATCAAGGAGTACAGACTGAACATAAAGATGAAGTTGATTCCGCCATAGCTGTCAACGTTGCTTCAAGAGTTACAGCGGCCCCTCCACCGCCACCACCACCACCACCACCACCTCCTCCACCCGGTCCAAGTGGAAGTGCACCACCGGCTCCACCACCACCACCACCACCACCACCTCCACCACCTCCTGGAGGAATTCTACCACCACCACCACCGCCACCACCACCTGGACCTGGAGGAATTCCTCCACCACCACCACCTGGACCTGGAGGAATTCCTCCACCACCACCACCACCACCACCTGGACCTGGAGGAATTCCTCCACCACCGCCACCACCTCCTGGACTTGGAGGAATTCCTCCACCACCGCCACCACCTCCTGGACCTGGAGGAATTCCTCCACCACCGCCACCACCTGGACCTGGAGGAATCCCACCGCCGCCACCGCCACCTGGACCTGGAGGAGTTCCACCACCGCCACCACCTATGGGAGCTGGCGGTATTCGACCACCACCTCCTCCATTTGGAGGGCCTCTTCCACCACCAACACTAGTAGCTGGCTACGGGCAAGCACCGCCTAGACAACGAAAGCCATCTAAGAAAATGAAAACGTTAAACTGGAGCAAGTTAACAGAACGCCAAGTCAAAAGCGAAAACTTTTGGAGTAAAATCAGCACTAAAGAACCTGCCGAAGAGGAAATTGATTACGCTACCATTGAAGATTTATTTTGCAAGAAAGAAATAAAGAAAGCGCAATCGAGTGAAAAGAAAAAGAAAGAGCCAACTGAGGTGGGGCTTGAATAAATTACTATTATAAGCAATATTGGAATATCGACAACTATACATGTATGTGTCAAGTGCTCATGAAATTTTAATTTGCCATTATCTAGATTACCTTACTGGATGGAAAGCGTTCCTTAAATGTCAACGTATTTCTTAAACAGTTTAGGAAGTAAGTAATACCAATTATTACTATTTGGGCTAATTATATTATGTTATTAATTAATGGATATTGAATGATAATAATGATTATTCAATTCCACGAATTAATTATCACTAATACCCTCTGTTTGAATGTTTCTCGAAAACTTTTAAGTATGACAAGCGAAGAATTGATTGAATGTTTAAAACAAGGAGATAAAGATAAATTTGGAGTGGAGAAACTTAAATTGATGATGAAATTATTACCAACGACGGATGAGGTTTGATATCATCACCTTGATCTTCAGTCTAAATAATCTATTTTAAGTGCCCATTTATCAATTTAGCGATGTTATGGTTATTATCTTGTTGGAAAATAATCTAATAGATATATCTCGATCAGTACTTTAAACTATTCAAACACTAGCAAGACAGTTTAGCAGTCCTTTACTCAGTATTGTTCTAGAATATTTATACAACTGTTAATATTAGCACTGTGTCATAATCTTATATGATTTTGTGGATAAAATTCATTATCGTTTCTAATTCAGATTAAGGAATTAAAAGCCTTTAAAGGAGACACTACAAAACTGGGCCCAGCTGAAAAATTTCTTTTAATGCTGTTGGGGCTACCAGGGTAAAGATTAAAGTCGTTTTAGAATCATTCCGTTAGAAACTTTCTTCAACCTTTCGAAATTTGCTTGAAGCCTTGAAATATTCTATAGTAATTAAATAAAATTGACTTAATTGTGATACTTACCTCCTTAATATAGCTATAAACTACGTATTGAAGGATTAATCTTAAAGGATGAATTTTCTACCTCATTGGAATATCTTAACGTCAGTTTACAGACCATTTTAAATGCTTTGGATGGTAAGTGTAGTACTACTATAGGCAATTTTAGCAATCAGCATATGCTTTAAAAAGCGAAAATTTCGTATTTAAATAAGATTCATTGACATTGCAACTTAAGTAGTCATCACTTACAGTTAAATATCCCAAGAGAGACGCCAGTTTCTGCCTCTTTGTCATTTCTGGCCTCTGTAATTCTCAATAGATATAGGGATACTGCAAAGTAAATGCAACGTTGATACTAGCAAATGTTGAGAAAGAATCATAATTTATAGCCTATTTATTAGAAAAAGTAGTTCTCTAAATGATTATGAATATGCAAAGTTCATATATCGCCGATCCGGTTGTAATGAATAGGCTAACCATTGATCTTGTATAGCAAATGTGTTTAATACATCCTGAAATTACTTTCGGAAAAGTTGATAGAAAAGTAAAAGGTTTATATAGCTGTGATATACTGCGTGTAATGACATATTATTTAAACGTGTACCGAACGATATACCTACATATATAAATGTGATTTTATGATGATAAATTCGTGTCTAAATATAAATTTGCAGCGATATTACGCAATAAAGCAATGGAGAATGTTTTGGAGATTATATTAAAAACCGGCAATTTCATAAATGCGGTAATAGTATTTGCTTTAAATGTTTACAGTAGATATTGACTATTTTAGCAAAGCTAAAAATAAATTTCATTCAATAGGGTAGCTTTGCTGGGAATGCTCATGGTTTCAAGATAGGAACATTACTTAAATTAGGAGATACACGCGCTAATGTCCCTCGTATGACATTTATGCATTTTCTTGTTCAGGTATGCATTATTTTTAATCGGCAAGGTCTATAGCTACTACCTTAACCATATTAAACACTTAAATAAAAGTAAAAAGTATACGGCCATGAAATAATTTTCTTTATGGTTATTGAAATTTCAAGTAATACTTTTTTACACGAATGAGCCACTTTTATTTTAAGATGGTAGAGGACCGCCCAGAATGCAAAGGTTTTGTAGAGAGCTTAGCTCCTGTAGAAAAGGCTGTTAGGTACGATTACCGAATAAATTGAAAGATTTACCATGTTTCTTCTAAGAGCTACAATAAATAAAGTAAATTATTGTTCATTGAATTTCGTTTGATTCAGGGTCATCATGGATGCTTTAATTGGAGAATTTAGGGAGATATCTACGAAAGTAAAGAAACTCGATCAACAAATTGAAAATTCATCTGAAGACGTCAAAGAACAATTTGAAAAGTTTATCCAAGTAAGATTGACAGACTTGTAATATTACTACATAATGTGAATGTTGATGGTTGGTTAAAATTTGCATGTAGACTAACGGCTAAGCTTGTTTCTACGGTGGCAGTTAATCGTCTTACTGTCTTCTTTCGTGAGAGGAATAGATTTTTTCGAAGTCAATAAGATTATTTTTACTAATATAAAATTTTCAATAATAGGAATGTCAGCTTGAATTAAAATCCGTTGAAGATACGATCGAAAATGTTAATTCCTTGAAGAGCCAGTGTGCCAAATTTTATTGTGAAGATGAGAAATCATTTAAATTAGAGGAGATTTTTTCGATCTTTCATAGATTTGCCTCCAATTTCAAAAAATGTGTCGATGTAAGTAAAACCTAGTAAAGTGACAACAACAGAGTGCATCAGGCTAAAATCTGAATCATTATATTCAATAGCATCTTAATTAGTTTAACCAACTCTTCTTATTTGTTTGTTTCTTGCTTTACTTTCAACTTTGAAATGCTTTTTCCGTACTAATCTCGAGGATACGAGTACTACTTTTAAATTTCACTCGTAATATAACTCTAAAATTAGTATCTACGCACTTGATATTTCATAGGAGAACCAACAGCGTATAAAATTAGAAAATAAAAAAGCTGAACAAGCTAAGCGCCAAAAGAAAATGAGCGTGCCGGCTTTTTCATTAGGAAACGGTATTGGCACGAAAAGGAGTTTAAGTGTAAGCGAGCATAGCAAACCGAAAGATGAAGGCTGTATAGTAGACAATCTCCTAAGCGAGATCAGACAAGGATTTGAGCTAAAGCCTCGTAGAAGTCGACGTAAATCATATCAAGAGAGTTCTGGTGATGAAAAGCAAAAATCTATTGCTGAGATTGAGAAGAAAGTGTTAGGGGGTGATAATGATGCTGGAGAAATCGCTATACAGGAATGTGAAATAAAGCCAGAGAATACAATTGAGTTATTATCGCGTCCTAGTCCGACTAAATCTTCAAAATCTGCCGATACTGACCAATCTGGAATTAAAATTTCAATTCCAAACGGTAGCAAAGTAAACTGTGTGCAGGGTCTGAAACTAGAATCAGCCATTGCAGAGAGTAAGTTGGAAGAAGTTATAGCAAAGACTAGTGACAATTCAGGAATACCGGAGAAAGCTGGTGAAATAAAGAAGATAAACACAGCTGCATCTACCAAAAATTCTCATGATGATGAAAGCAATTTAATTAACGACGACGATAACAAGTTAGTTAAGAAAAAATCTGAGAATTCATCCGACTCAACCAAGGACTTGAACTCGTCTCTAGATACTAATGAGGCAAAGAAGCCAGTTAGCATTCAGAGCGATTCCACTCGGCCAATAAAACAGGAACCCTCGATAGTGACTGAAGTTATCGTTCCTAAGGAAATTTCTGTAATGGCGACAGGCACTGAAATGACAGAAGCAAAAATTTCGATGCCTACGGAAATAATACACGAAGAACAACCCGATATGCAAGCAAGTCAGACGGCCATATTACACGAAAATCAGGGTAGAAATATTGATGAACATCTCCAGGCAAACAAGCTAAGCCGTCAAGCCACGTATACGAAAGGAAAAGTCAAGAAGATGCCAACAAGAGTAGAGGCCGTTACAGTTGGAACGAATAAGGTCCAAGTTGCAAAGGCATCAGAAATGATTTATTCAGCTGAGGTAGTTGAAGATGTTCCAGTGGTTGTGGAAAGCAAAGCCATTGAACCTGATGAATTGCAAGTGGAAATTGTTGATAACCGACAACAGGTAACAATATCATCCGAAATATCAACTAATTCATTAGAGGACACTGAGGAAAATCAGATACCAGAGACTGCTCAACAAGAAGCAAATAATGAAGCGGCAACGGAAATTCCTGCCCATCTGAATTTGTCAACACCAATTCCAGCACAGCAACAGTGTGTAGTTAATGATAGCAATGAAAGAACAGGTTTGAAATCAACCTCAAGTGAGAAATCCGATCCAGTAGGCTCTCCACCTCCGAATATGGAAGTAAGCAGTCGAACTACTGATACTGCTGGCCAGAAAGATATCTTAATTCGTAATGAGACTAATGCAAATAAATCGCAATCTAAGTCCGATTCGGCTTCGAAATCTAAGTCTTCAGCGAAGAAAAAGAGTTTAAAAACGTCCGATAAAAAATCTGGCTCGACGAAAAAGAATAAAAGTAAAAGTGAAAAGCCTGACGAGAATACTAATAAGAATAAAAGTAAAAGCGAAAAGCCTAATGAGAACATTAATAAGAATAAAAGTAAAAGCGAAAAGCCGGACGAGAATGTTAATAAGAATAAAAGTAAAAGTGAAAAGCCAGAAGAGAATATTAACAAGAATAAAAGTAAAAGTGATAAGCCTGAAGAGAATACAAACAAGGCAGGAAAGAAAGCAGGTACAAAAGTGTCTAGAAGTACGCTTATCGTTAACACCGATTATTCCAGGTCAAAAAGTGAATCTAAACCCCAAACTGATAATAAAGAAACTAAAGAAGCGAAACCAACACCGCCTAAGGATACTCTAAAAGTTAATCAACCCTCTACCAGAACAGACGAAAAACTGCCAGAATTGAAACAACACAGTTCAAGTGAAGAGGCATCTGCAATGGTATCAGATAATGAAGTAGAAATGCGTCAAGAAGGTGAAAAGAAGCTAACATCTAAGAGGAAAAAGAAAACGAAAATGTCCTTTAAAACTTTCGGCCGCTTATTTAATATTCAACGTCGTCCTAAGCACGATAATGATGATGATTCACGTTTATAATTATAATAAGGACAAAAATGATAGTTAGTAGTTTTTAAATATGAAATCTTTTAAAAGCAGATCTAAGCATTAACATTTGTTTTAAATTGGCTTGATAACTATTTCAAAGTATTATCATCAAGTCATCTCTAGAGGGAGTACGGCAGTTGAAAGCCACTTAGACTAAGCCAGAACGTTTTATTTAAACATATTAGCCTTTAGTACACATTTTTTCAGCTGTAAGTAAATTAAAAATTTTCTAGACTTCATAATGAAAATATCCTGAAGATCCGCGTAAAGATCCGTCTTTCTTAATTAAAACCAATATTGAAACAATATGAGATACATGTAACAAGCAAGAAATATTTTACCTTGACCAAGTCTTTCATATTTTATATCATGCAATAGCTAAAGTTATCTGTTTTATCTGGAAATGCAGCATTTTTTATGCTTGTAATTATGAATTCTGTGCTTAAATTAGTCCTAAGTAATTAAAACTGGTGACTAATTGAATTATTGACATAAGAAATAATACAAATGGCAGATGAAGATGATTTTTTTGTAACATCCTTTTAAAATTATAGCGCTATGGGTTATGCAATCTCTGATTTATACCTTATAGTATCGTAATTAGTCGCGTGTTAAGCTTAGGTTTGACTTTTTTCTTGAAAAAGTAAATAAGTTTTCTTTCAAAGTGCAAGAGTATTAGCCAAATTGGTTACTAATTTCTGGTAATATGTCAGAAGTTACCTGTAGAAAATAATTATTAACAGCTCATGCATTCTCTGTTACATGGAAGTGAATATAGAGATATAATGTTCGCCAAAACATAATACAAAATGTATACATTACCCTATTTTGCCAATCTTGGAAAGACTAAAGGCTTTTAAATAATGTTGATCGGCTACCGACCTGTATCCATTGAAATTTGGTAGCGGATGTAAAATTAGAACTGTTATTGCATCAATTAGACATGATTATTTGATTTTGGCCTTGAAAATATTATTATTAAATTTTTTTTAAACTCAACTGGAACCAATGATGTACATATTCATTTAATTACCCCGGCAGAGTATACTGAGAAGCTGAAATAGTTAATTATTTAATATCCTGATTGCTATTACAGCAAGAATGAAAGAGCTATAACTATCCTGAATTTAAACTGAATTACAGTAGATAGCTATATTGAAGCTAAACGATTCTAACTATTAGCTATTGACTGAATGATCTATTTACTATCTGTTAAATAATTTGAAGTGACTCAATTTTGATGTGCGATGGATATTCGTAGAATATTTCAATTACCACCGCACGATAATAGAACCTTGCTAGACCATATTAGCAGTACGTACAAATAATCGAGATTTCCTTTTGCATCTATCTATAAAGCTGATCGTTGCATAATCAAGTGTAGAAATAAGTTATAACAAATAAAGGTCATGTGGGCAATTGAATAATAATTGTCAGGCAAATTTGGAGACAATTCCCATCTGTTACTGTTTGGTAAGAATAAATGGTAATCGTTCCTCCAGACACTGCGTTTACTCTAACATAACCTACATTGGCTATTTATTTCCATCAGCAAGATGGTTTACTAAGCCACGTGATTAGAGCGTAGATTAAAAATATTAGTTTTATTGGGAAGGGATTAACCCAAAAAGAAATTTTTGTTGTCATGAATGATATTGGTTATAAAATGGAATCATATGTTGCATTGGTACATATTGCATATATTACAGAAATGGAATAGTGTTTTCTATCGAAATTTGAGAATCCAACCATAGTATCAATAACTCACTATGAATATTTAGGAGAAGTATATTTCTATTCTAAGTTATGATATCAAAAACCTGTTGATATTTAATTTCTTTCTTGATTTGTTTTTGGTTTCTACTATTCGTCGCAAGTAACGTGATTGGATACTTAGAGGCTGCATTACTATTTAATGATCTATCATTAATAGGTAGTTTTTCACATTGAGTTAAACTACGATTTTTATTTATTTTTGGAGATATACAGAACGTGATTTACAGCCGTTCTGTCTCAACGGAATGAAAATGAGTAGTCAATAAGGACGGAAATTTAAAAAAATGTGACAGATTTAACATTAGAAGATATTATATATTGACAAAGGTTAACAATGTCGATTAAATGGAATTTAGCTCGTCAGAAAGCGGCTGAAGAAAGTCGTCGATTATCTTTTACATCACATATCGATTTAAATGGATTAGATAAAGTCGAACCAAATTTAGTTATCGATATAATACGACGCCCATCTATCCAGAATTATACATCGCTAAAGAAATTTCTATCCAAATGCAATCGCCGTTGGTTAGAAAAATTTCTCAATATGGACGGAATGGAAGTGCTTCTAGAAACGATGGAAATATTATGTGATCAAGGCTGTGCTTCCGTTGCTGATGCTTTTATTCAATTGGAATGCATACTTTGTATAAAAGCAATTTTAAATTCAACAGCTGGCATTGAATACATCACTGACTGTAAGCAGGCTTCTCGTTTGATTGCTAAAGGTACTGTAGCTACGATATCTAAAATTTTTATTAGCAATCATCGAAATCGAATTCTTAATATTTCTATATAGTAATAAATGGAATAATCATAAAATCAATCAAATTTATTCTTCTTTATATGCTATTGAGACTAATATAATTGTTCGGTTAAATTTCAAGAACATTTTAATGATCATTAAAAGTTTATTGGTTATTGATATTGTCAAAAATTAAATCATTATGGCTTATAGGATTCTTTAAGCAATATTTCAGTACAGATTTTATGTTGTTATTGACATTTTCACACATTAATACATTATTTCTATCAATCAATATTTTTCATCCGCTACGTATTAGTTGTTTACAGTTAGTAATAATTGCGAGAAAATGTAATCGCCTTGCTTAGTATCGTTTATAGCAATTCTAAGTTACGTAATCGAGTTTCAAATTTTAGGTAATCTGTGCATTTGTAAATCAAAATCGAATGAATATTCTCTATTTAGCTTTAAATTCTGAGAGTGTAATGGTCAGGAAGCAAATTGTTGAAATTTTATCTGCGATCAGCATGTATTCAGCTGAGGGCAGGGATGTTGTTATGGAAGCTTTAGAGAACTTTAAAGTAAGCTTGCAACTAAGATCGAAATTGTATGATGATCTTTACTATGTATCAACTCTAATGTTGAACAATTATTATGAAATGGGCATAATCAGGTGGATCAACTGCGAAAAAGTCCATATCAAATCATAATTGATGAATTACGAGATGAAAATATCACAGCTTACAAAGCTACCTTAGTAACATTTGTAAATTGCGTCCTAAGAGGAGAAGAAGATATCGATCGCCGAATTTTGTTAAGAAATGAAATGATAGGTAAAATTTTAATGTAAATCCTTAAAAATTAAGTAGCGATAATTATTTAAATCTAAGCCAATTAGAAACTTAGCCAACCATGTAAATAAAGCTGTACAAGTTATACTTCTTAACATTTTAATGAAATTATCAATCAATGCAGGTTACGGTCTATTAGATGTAATAAATAAATTAAGGTACCGAATTTAATTTACTAACTTAACTGAAATTTGTTTCATATAGATTTTTATTATATATCAGTAACAATAGTGTCATGAAAGAAATTTTATATCTGTAGGCTAAATGATGATGACAAGGATCTTGAGATTCAAATTGCAACATTTGATGAAGAATTATCAAAAGATGAGCATCAGTTATTGGAACTAATAGATACTCCTAGAGAAGACAGTTTTCCGCATTTTCAACTATTTAATGCTATTTTTATAAAGGTTATCCCTAATTCTAGTTTTACGAATGATTGATAATAAATAATAATCTTATCGGAATCGACTTTAATTATGAATTTATAACCATATACGTATATGCCTAATTTTTTTCAAATTTGCTTGTGGGTTACATTACAGCTAAGCAGCAACCCAACCTTACTCCATTATTTCAGGAATATTACTTACAATCTTAACTCAATATCGAATGATGATGTGAACTGTATAGAAGTGTGGAGACTATTGGATAAAGTAATTTATGAGATTGTCCACTTGGAAAAAGTAGAAAATTCTCAAGGAATTACCAAAAACTACGTAGAAAAATATCGTATTGATAACCGAAGGAAGTCTCAGAGGAAGATTAGTCATAGTCAAACTCAGACAGATTTGATTTTGGCCCAATTTGGTGTTGACCATTTGCAATCTAAAGAACTTGAAGGTCAGTCATTAAATCTTGAATTACCTGCTTCAGAGGCAAACGATTTGATATCTACCAGTTCGAGTACCATGGATCGTACTGGTATCCTAAAAGAATTGCCTCCGAATGCTGCATCTACGGCAATTCTTACTGATTTACCCCAAACATCTCTATCTGTAATACCGGAAACTAAAGAAAATTTGTCATTTTCGGGACCACCACCTCCTCCACCACCTCCGCCGCCACCACCACCACCACCAACACTCGAAATGGCTACTCCAGGAGGAATTTTACCTCCTCCTCCTCCACCACCATTACCACCACCTGGAATGCCTGTCCTAGGAGAACCTACACCTCCTCTACCTGGAATGGCTACTCCAGGAGGACCTATACCTCCTCCACCACCTGGAATAACTGCTTCAGGAGGACCTTTACCCCCTCCACCTGGAATGGCTACTCCAAGAGGACCTATACCTCCTCCACCTCCTCCACCCCCAGGAATAACTGCTCCAGGAGGACCTTTACCTCCACCACCACCTCCTCCACCGCCTGGAATGACTGCTCCATGTGGATCTTTACCTCCTCCACCACCTCCTCCACCACCTGGAATGGCTATTCCAGGAGGAACTTTACCTCCTCCTCCTCCGCCAATGCCAGCTTCATCTGCTTCTAGATCGGAACAAGGATCTCATATCTACTCGTCAGCATATATTAAGGCTACTACAATAGGATTTGTTTTAAAAAAGCATCCAAGTAAGAAAATGCGTCATTTAAATTGGACGAAACTAGGTGCAAATTTTATCAGTAACGGTGGTGGGTCCAGCATATGGAGCAAATTATCTCACGAAGTTATAGAACAGCTTAATATTAATTATGAAGAAATTGAAGAATTGTTCTGTAAGAAAGATCCAATACCACAAGCGAAGTTGACTACTAAGAAAGCAGAGCCAAGCGTGGTAGGGTATAGATGACTTGATCAATTTCAACCTGTAAATTAAGTATAAATATAATTATATTTATTTGCAATCTGATTTTAACCTATAATATTTAGACGAACTACCAATTATTTTGGCATATCTAACATAATTCCCAGTATACGAGTACACGGTAGTATACTATAGGTATCGACTTTACTGTAATTGTTCATATTTAACATGTCCCCAGGTATCGCTGCTGGATTCCAAACGATCATTCAATATCAATGTGTTTTTACAGCAATTTAAAAAGTAAGTGAAATTACTATAACTCAGGTATTGAGCCTTGCAGACTTGGTAGCTATCGCTAAACATTTCTTCGCTCTATGTGTAACAAATTCTTCACAGGTTATCAAACAACAAAATAATTGATATGATACGAAATAACGACAAAGATACTTTTGGCGTAGAAAAGTTAAAACTTTTACTTAAATTATTACCAAATTCAGAAGAGGTACCTCGCCTGTAAAAAATATTGACTATGTTGCAAGTTACTACAATTACGTTTCTAGACGTAAGATTTAAAATATTGATGCAAACTAGCAAATAGATTTATCTACATAAATCGACCACAGGAAAACCAGTATATGAATTTATTTCGTTATGAAGCAAGATGTAGTAAAATGTCCAATTAACCAGTAGTCTGTTTATTCAGATAGAAGCTCTACGATCCTTTACTGGAGATCGGAGTAAATTTGCAACTGCTGAACAATTTTTAAGCCATTTGATCGAACTACCTAGGTAAGTTTAGTTAGATAAATCACCTGTTATTTTTTACTGAAAGGAAAAGTTATGGTTCTAAGTTACTTCATAATATCGAAATCATAGCTTTTATCATAACTAAAATAATACATAACGTTTTGATCGCTTGAGTATCGTAATAGTAAAATAAAACCATGGCCTCTTTTAGTGTACACAATGAATTTTAATGCCTTCCGTAACATGCATTTCAAGAATTTTATTTACTAGCCCAGGCATAATTTCAATGCATGTATTTATACTGAAAGTTACGTAAGCCAAACTTTGTTACCAGTTAATTAATCTTAATTAATCATTTACCCTTTTCTTAAGTTACAAATTGCGAATAGAAGGAATGATACTGAAGGAAGAATTCGATATTTCAGCCGAATACTTAAAAACTAGTTACGAGACAATCACCAACGCAATTGAAGGCAATCATAAATTAAAAATATTTAGATTCAATTGCTTGACTTTAATTCTCTTGTATCACTTTTTGATATTTCATAGACATCTGTCAGCATTCTGTTAGCCTAGGTCAGTTTAATATTATCTAATTAACATTTTAATAAATAGCAATACATGATAACAATAAGTTGAAAGATGTTTTGGAGATCATATTACACACGGGAAACTTCCTGAATGCAGTAAGTTGTGTGTTTGCAATAAGTAATCTAGCATTTGAGATAAAAAAAGGCGAAAAAATTATCAAACTTAATCTTCATCATCCCATTAGGGTAGCTATGCCGGAAATGCTTGTGGTTTTAAGCTGAATACATTGCTTAAACTTAGTGATACAAGAGCTAACAAGCCGCGAATGACATTCCTCCACTACATAGTCCAGGTATCGCATATACGGCCTTATTCAATTAATGCCATACGAGATGAAGGGTTCGTTCCTTTATCTCATTAAACATGCTAGTCACTTTAATCCTGTTTCCATATTTGTTGCATGTTTTTAGTTCCTGGATGAAAAGGGAATCGTTGACTATTTACCCGATCTGATGGCAAATGTAGAATTAGCTGGCAGGTAATTCAACTATCAGCTCTGAATTATCAATTCCACTCAATCCACTTTCTATTAGATACCAATCTTTCCATTAGAGAGAACAAGTACTATTAACTCTGGTTAAATTTAGGTTAACATTGGACAGCCTGGATTTAGAATTTCAAGACATTTCAAGGAAAATCAATAAACTTGCAGAACAGCTAGAAACAGCACCAGAAGACGTTAAAATTGTTTATCAACAATTTGCTGATGTAATTTTGTTCCAAATGGACAAACAATGATATTTTATTTAAAATAATTATCTGATGATTTTAGGCCATATTCTAGCTCATTTAGAATTTACTAGTACTTACATAGAGAGACATTGATATTTTTAAACCCTAAACGAAAGTTTTACGTCCTCAATGTTAGAATTGTAAGGCAGAATTAGAAGACATTGAAAGTATGAAGGAAGATATTGATCAACGGAAGATCGCCTTGGCTAAGTTTTATTGCGAAGATGTGAATAATTTTAAGCTAGAAGAATGCTTCGGCATATTTAATCGATTTATGCAGAATTATAAGAAAGCTAAAGAAGTAAGCACTTAGTAAAACTTGTAACTTTTATTCAGCATTTCTATAAGAGAATCAAACCCACAATGCTGGTATTATGCATAGTAGGTATATAACTCATCTTTATGGAAATATAGGATAATGATCAGCGCAAAATGCTAGAAGCTAAGAAGGCGAAGCAAAATGAAAGAAAGAAGAACTTAAAAAATATTGAATCGTCCAAGCGATTAAAGTCCTTGTCGAGTAGAGAGAAGAAATTAGCTAACGAAGAATGTATAATCGACAACTTGCTGCAAGAAATACGCACTGGAATAGATTTAAAACCACGACCAAGAAGAAAATCACGAGCAAGTTTAACACCAGAAGGGGTATCGGCTTTATTACAAATTGCTCAAATTGAAAAGGATTTGATGGGAAATTCCCAGGCTTCAAAAAATAATCTATCTAATATAGAAGAAAATAAGGAAGCCCGGATTATTTCTGATAATGCAGCTTTCATTGATAAGAGTGAGTGCCAGAACGCAAATTCATCTCAATCTGATAGCTCGAACTTTCATCTGACTAATGACCTTAAGCTTGAGCCTCTAGAGAAAGAAACAAATACTGCTATTGCAAGGACGAGTCAAGACTCTAGCTGGTTCCTAGTTGATGAAAGTAAGGAGAAAGTGGGTCTATCGAAATCAGCTTTAAGTTCGATTATTAGTAAACAACAGCCTGCCCAACCAGGATCACAAAATCAAAAAGTGCTTGCATCCAGTACGGATACAAAGTTGCTAAGGGTAAATTATTTTTCCAACAAAGAAAGTAGTAAAAATGAGCGGCGGTCATCACAGTGCAATATACTATCAATTGATGACGAGGACGAATTATCCAAGGATTATATAAGTAAAGCAAATAAGATCAAATCAAATTCCAGTCTCAATTTATCAACTGAACAAGGTTTAATAGGGGAGAGTCAATCCCTAAAAACTGCAATTAGCCAAGAGTGGATTGGAAGAAAGCCAATACAGAGCCCGAGAACAAACCGAAAAACTGATATTGTAAAATGTAAATCACGGAAAAATTGGGAAGGTAAAAGTCTGATAGGAAAAGAAAGTGCAAATAGCGATGATAAGACTCCAAGGAGAGACGAAGTTTTATCATCGTTCTCATCGGTAGCTAATGACAAGCATATTTTGGATAGAATTACAGCTTTAGACAGGAGTTGTGATAATACTAGCTATGATACACCTAGAAGCTTAGAGAAGTATCATGAAACTCATACAAAGGAAGAGGAAGAGGTAAATCCAGCTACTATAACCGTCCAGAATGATAATAGTACTATGCAACTTTCAATCAACGGATCTAATAGCCAGCAGAGCAGCACTCCTAGCCAAAAGCTACGTTGGAAGCAACCTTTTCTGAGATCGAAAATTTCACCAACATCTCCTAGCAGTAGTTCTCAGTCGGCTACCAATGAGGTAGTCAACGTACCAGGTAGCAGTGGACTATCTGCTCAATCCGTATCGGCCTTGCGAGATAATCAAGAAGAAATTAATGAACAGCAGCGCGAACATAAAACGACTTCAATAAGAAGTAAAAAGAAATCAATCTCTTTATTATCTTTTAGGAGCCTTAGCAAAATATTTGCAGTATCACTATCAAAGGATAGCCATCGTAAAAAGTAGATTGTAGTAGGCAAACAAAATTATTACACGAACAGAGTAATAACTAATTGCAAAATTACAGTATATTAAAGACTAGTGATTGATATTTTGCAAGATAATTTTGGTTATTTCAAAACTAATGGCATAATTACAAAACTGTAAGTCCTTAAACTCTATCATGTTGAAACGAGCCGAGAAAGTGCAGAAACTAAATATGATGTGGGTATCAGTAATATCGCCATGCCCGATCTATTGAAATTCTTTTCGGAATCATTCATGTAAAACATTTTTGCGATATGTCCTTTCGTCTTAATTGATAACTATTCGTAAGTCATACATCTAAACCCTATTCCATTTACATCCGAGATTTTATAGATACTCATGTTTGTGAAATACATCACTTCTGATATGATCTAGTCAGAAATTGAGGGCAGTAGGTACTATATAATAATACTATAATTAATTCCTAACATTATTTCCAGAATGCTATAAATGAAAGTAGGAAGTTATGCTAGACTAGGTCTTCTGGAATTGTATCGATAGTTATCCTACTGCTTTTAATAGAACAATTGAAGGGATGATGTTCTAAATTTAATATTAGAGATCTATAATGATTACTTAATTTATTTTTGCTCAGAGGAAGTAAATTCTATCTGTCGTATTACTTAGGCTATATTAAGTCATAAAGAAGATAAAGATGATGAAAATGTGTTTTACTATTAATATGCAATGCGTATAATTAATAACCAAAAACATCGGATACATCAGGGTTTCGATGTTGGCAATATCTTTATAATATTCTATCATACATTATCGAAGGTACATTATTACATAATTATAATTCCCGGAGAAATTCTTGCTATAAAGGAACATTTTGTGTTTTATTGGTGTTGATAATTTAAATGCTATTTCATCAGGTCACAAAATGTGAGCTGCGTGTTTAAGTAACGATCACAGTTTGATTAAACAATTGATATGTTAAATAAATTGTTCTTACAGTTTTAGGCAGTATAGAAATGGAAAAAAATGCATCACTGAATAGCTAAGCTTATGGATGGGTAGATGAAATCAAACAGATAATTTCCCTGTAAATCAATTAAGTAGAGAAAGAACGATGACGTAAAATAAGGCTGTTGTTTTAAGTACTTCACCTCGCTCTCAGCTACTAGCCATCGGCTAGGATAAATATTATAGTTCCCTAATTTAGGATAACAATAGTTCATTTGATTATACGTGTGTATATTCTCGTATAAACTCGCATAAGGAAGCTTTCATATTATATAGCATAATTCTATAGAGGTCTATCGGCTAGAAGTTTGCATTCTATTATATATAAATTATTCCTAATACGATATATTCATTATCACATATCTAATAAGATTAAAATAATTTCTGTAAAACTTGAATTATTGGCATTTTGCATGACCTACTTTTATATTAAGAATATGTTAATTTATGTATTCAGATTGTTTATTTACTGTTTTCTTTACTATAACAGTATTCTTTGCAGTGTAATATGTCGCTAATGGTCATTAGAACCAAACATTTTCATATCCATGGCGCATCGAAACCCTAAATTTATTGCTGAAGTGTCCGGTGGTGCTGCATTTCGTGCTGCACACCGATATCGGTAACAGTAAGACTAATAATAAGAAGAATTGAATATTAGAATTAAATTTTATTATATGCATGACTTAATATACATGAATAGTTAGCAAAGTTAAGGTAGTACTCAAAATGAGAATTAATATGTGCTGTTTCACGTAGCTAGCCTGATTCTTGTTTTTATGCACACCTTATGACATAAATATGATCCTCCCTTTTGTACCTTCTTAACACCGGAATTAGGACCTTTCTATAAAATTAGAAAGGTTGAACTTTGTTAAATAATTTTCTATACCCATAGTTATACATTTCTGTCATGTCTCTAATATCGAGAAAAATCTGATAATATACAGCTAAGAACAGACATTAATTGTTCTGCTAAATAGTAGTGTAACATATATATATATTTACACTTGACATGGTATGCCTAACTTAATGAGACACTAGCAGTCATTCGAATAATTTTAACCGCTACATCAAATACACAAGTTGTGGAATAAAAACCTTTTTATTACCATATTCAAATGGATTATGCTATACCAATTTAGCGAGAAGGAATTTGTTCAGTCATTTAATGTACAACTTATACGGTACATAATACTAATATATTCTCACCGGATTATTGGAAATATCCTGCCGAGACCTTAATTGTCCATCTCGTCTACTCCACCAATCATATACCCATTCCCATACATTACCAATAGTGTTATAAATTCCATAAGCATTAGGTAAATAAGAATTGACCTGAAATTCATATTAAACAACTGATTTATCTATCATCTGTTAAAAACGTTACTATTAATTCAATTAAAGTCAGTAAAATGCCAACAGAGGACAATTAAGTATTAGCAGAAAATCATTTAAAATACAAAACTACCGGAGCTGTTCCGATGTATCCATCATCTGCTGTATTTTCTCTAGGAAATTTTCCCTAAATAAAATTATGATGAATAACTCAACCTATTAGATCATGGTAGAGGCAGAAATATGCAAGTTATGGCTGAATGATTGCCCCCTTTTAAGTAAGCATATTCTAAACCTACTTGCCAAATATTCATTCTATGCTGGCCTTTCGGTATTGGATTATTACCCCATGGAAATAATCTAAGTTATTTTATCAGTTCATAATTTTTAAATTCTAACACATTATAACATTAATGTTTTATATGTTAAATTGACCGGGTAAAGTATAGAATCGCACCTATCATTTAATCCACCTCGAGCTGCATATTCCCATTCTGCCTCAGTAGGTAAGCGCTTACCAGCCCAATTGCAGTAAGCATTAGCATCATTCCAAGACATATGAACAACGGGATGATCTAAACTGAATATGACAAATTAAATAAGTTTAGTAACAATCGCAGGTTTAAATTCTATAAGATTATCAATAATTTATCAATATACATGATTAAGGGGTTATTTATGCTTGTCAATGGTCGCAATGGTGTTATCTTACATGCCATTTATAGATGAATTTAAACCTTCTGGATGATTCCAGTTAGCGTTTTTAGCTAACTTCCACCATGGAGAGTCCACAACCACTTTTTCCTTAGCATTAATATTACAGTGGAAATAATTAATGAATCATGTTTTTACATAAAAGCTAACAATGCAACGTAATTAGTACACTAGCAGTTCTATATTCAATGTAAGATGCGTTACTTGCGATGAACTTGTAGATTTGAGTTTGGGAATTGCGGTAAGAATAAACGAGCTGCCTAACTCTTCGGCCTGACGTAGATATTAATTAATATCGTAAAAACAATTATATTGATAAATCTTGATATACGAATTTTCTGATAGAAATAAATTTATGATTGAGCCTAGAACATTGATGTAATGTAAATTTAAACATACTTGCGTTCTATGCCCTGTAGCATGTATAAATTGACGAAATTTCCTGTTGCTAACTTCGTATTTATCAATATAAAAGGGTGATAAGTAGGCACGATAACTTGGTCCTTCACTATCGCTTAAAATGGCTATTTTATTAGTACCGACGGTGGTTAGACCTCCAAGTAAGAAAACCATATCATCGGACTGATTAACTGCAGTATCATAGCTACTAGTAATTTTATTCGTAGATTCTAACCCTAAATTAGCTTGAACCCAAGCAAGCAATATCATTAATGCAATGATATTGTTTCCAGTCATATTGCTGTATAGGGTGACTAGCATGACTTTATCATTTAGCTCAAGATGATACGTGCTAAGAAAGCTAAATTCCCTACGCTGAAAGGTGATATAATAATGTAGGATACAGTAATTTGGTGCTATAGTTCAAGTACAAGCATTAACCGCGTGTATAGTGTAAATAAACAACTGAGTATTCAGAATAGCTGCGAATGCGCAATATAACTCTGGCGATTTTTATTCAACTACTTTGTTGTAATTGTATGATCTATCATAAGAATATTTATGCCAAATTTTCAAAATACAATAAGATTTCATTCTTTATCGTCATATGCCATGCTCGAGGAATCAGTTTACAGAATTAAAGTTATTTATCTAAATTAGTATTCAATAGACACCATAAACCAGAACAAGGCTACAGCACTGAGTACTGGAAATAATCTATTAGGTCTTCCGTTAATCTACTGTATATTGAAGCATCTGATATTGTAAGCACAAATACCAAATGATACGCGTACTATTGGAAAATTAATATATTACCTACACACGATAGCGTATGCCGCTAAGTTTTCAATCTAGATATAATTTGTAAAACATGTGGATTACCACTATTTTAATATAAAGAGAGCCACAGAGCAATAGCTTGCGGACAATGACTACTCAATCCAAATTCCTTCACTATTAATATTGGTATCAAAATAGTGCAGTACTATCCATGCCAATTATTATTCACAATTAAACGAAGTGATCAATGTAATAATCACTGTGCAAAGTAAGCAGTATAAATACCGAACTTACAAGTGTAGTTAGTTTGCATAGGAAAAATTAATCCTACACTTGTACGATGAGGTAAGATATATTGATCAATAAATTCATGTTAACTACAATAAAACTATATAAGAAATAATATCTTTTCGAAGGAGGAATTAAATTCATTCCAAGGCCATATATGTCTTGTTCATTGTAACAAATTATAGTGGTACCAAAGGTTGGTTTATTATATCAGTTAGGTAGCTTTAGCAATCTGCAGAGAAATAACGTAGGATGTTAGTCATCCTCAGCTGCCCAATCTTTTACCTCTTTCAAGACATTCATAAGTTCCTCTTCTTTGGAGTTTGGAGTGATGGAATGCATATATTCCCATTTCTAAATGGTAAACAATTATACAGTTGAAACTATATAACGTATCACAAAATTTTTCTAGTGGGTATTGCACATGTTCATTCTGTTCATATGAAATAAACTTACAGCTGCTAGAGGCAAAGATGCTAAAATCGATTCAATTCTGGCTTCAGGTGTTGCTAGGCCAAATTTTGTGCCACGATCATAGACAAGATTAAATTCCACGTATCTATATCAGTAAAATTATCAGCATTTTATCTTCAAAGACTCTTGACTGCCTAGAATAACTCCAATCGGTCGTCTATACAAACTAAATACCTTCCTCGACGCAAAAGTTGCCAATGACGTTCGGCGTAGCCATAACCATCATTGACATGCTTCCTTACCATAGGGACATAAGAAGGAATGACAGCTTCTGCACAGCTCTATACAAATAAAGTTCAAATAGGATTACATAGGCATAATATTTAGCCGCAATAAAGTTACAAATTCAACATCAATTTAACCTTAACAAATTCGAATGTTCCTTGACTTCCTAATGTATCAAGATCATCAAAAAATATGCCACCAATACCACGATGTTCTTGACGATGTGTAATATAGAAATATTTATCACACCAGTTTTTAAATTCTGGGTAAAATTTCGGGTTATGCATATCACAAGCACGTTTTAACGTCTTGTGAAAGTGTTTAGCATCCTGTTTATGAAATGTTAAGTGTATGGACTTACTTTGCAATGATAAATATTGTCTTTGAAAAGCAATTTATATCGTTATTAAAAGATGATGATCATAAAACCTACAGCTACATCTAAATAATAAGGTGTTAAATCGGATCCTCCTCCAAACCACCAGTGCTTTTGACCATCATCATCGATAATTTCAAAATAGCGATAGTTGAAGTGAAACGTTGGTATCATAGGACTACGCTAAGGTGATTAATTTTTTTAGTATAAAGTCTGTAAGTTACTATTCATTATATTGGAACAAATAATCTATTTAAAATTGTCATAGAAGTTTATTTATTTATAGTATTACCGGATGTATAACGCTACTGATACCAGCAGCAAAGAATGGCAATGATTTACCCTTTATATCTCCTCGCCTATCAAATTTATGTATGTTTACTCAAAATGTATTCAACTTCGGTAGTATTCAATGATAATCCTATGCTATATCGTAAACGAGCGGTAAGTGTCGATTAACCTGCTTTTCATTCTCTTAATAGCATCTTCTGATAAATTCCCGTGAACAACGGATATAAGAACAGCAGCTTTCTCAAATACAGTTCCATCTTGAATTACACAAGAAATACCTCCACCGCCCTATAATCAAGCATTCAAGTTTAGCTTTACAGGGGCTATTCTTTACATCAATTATGTCTAGAGAATTTGACGACAGTCAACCTACTTTTTTCCTTAACCATTTATCAACGATAAATTTTTTTTCATCAAATGATTCTAAACTTTTACATAAATCTGCCTAATTATTCGGTAATAGAGTGTGTCGTTAAAAGTGATTATTGAGTTGAATAACAAAGTCATTATTTATATCCTACTTGGATTTTCATAATCATCAGTTCCATCTTGGTTTTCATGTCATCTTTAGTCTAGTATTATTTGCGTAAGGCATCAGTTGAATAGCTATGACAACGAAGGACTATGTCCATTAACGATTTAATCAAACCTCCTGTAATTTTTGTAGATCAGTAACTGGTGTCGTCATAAATTTAGACGTATCAACTTCATCGTTTGTTGCAGCTGCCTGTAAAGTAAAGTATAGTGGATTAGATATCCAAAAGTCAAGTTGAAGGGTGATACAATACAAGCAAATATTCATCTCCCAAAGGATCTGACTGAGCAACGCCGTTTATTGCCATACCGTTGACAATACTCCCCAAGCGGCAGCAAGACCTCCACCAACTCCAAGCCAAGATGCTATACCCCTATCGGTAATAATTATATATAATGATACTGTATCAATTCTACAGTAGCTACCGCAGCTCATGCTTACATAGATGATTAATCGTTAGCATTCGGTAATGATAGGAATAAAGAAGTGATCAGTACAATGAGGCTGAAAGAAGAATCAATAATTTATACCGTATCAAATGTCTTGATGTTTTTTGGCTACCTTGTCCAGTAGCGATAAATCGGACTCTGCAATAGTTTGGTAGTACATTTGCACGTTTAATGCCATTTACTAAAAAAACATACGGTTAATGAATTCAATATCTCGATGCAAAGGTTGATGCCTCATCTTTGACATTGGATAAGGCATACGATTATAGTGAGGCAATGTTGTTCTATAATCTTGTCAACGATGAAGCATGCCCGTGCAAACAACAAGCATGGAGGTTACAAAAGAAAAAAGAATGTACTGTAAGTTTATTGGAAGAATAGAAAGACCCACAATAACTGCTGATAGGACGGAGCATCCAATGAGGGCATCCATCTTTAGCCGTTTGAATATTAGTGCACCAAAGAAGTCATGCTTTGGAATATTAATATTCAAGGGTTCGTCCAATTATTTCTAGCTGCCTGCAATTCAAATTAAAGTCTAGCATCCATTTAAGCAGTTTTCTTGTCGATTACATTCAAAAATCGAGCAGCGTCCGTAGTATCCCAACGACAGTACTGAATAACGTGATAGTGATATTCAACTCAACTTTACAAGACCTACTAGCTTCATTCTCAACCCTTCAATGCCACCAATATAAAAGCATGATAATACAGTAATCATGGAAATACACCAAATTGGTATCTAGTTGATTCTCCATTTACGGCAGTGGTAGATATAGAGTTGAGGCATAGATTGCTTTGAAGTGTTGATTCGATTAAATCGATAACGACTGGTAGCTCATCAAGACCTCTCTGCACTCACTCAACAAGGTCATCCATCAATCCATCTACTGTACTGTACAATGCTGAACTTTATTTTCAACTTACATAAGCTCATTTTGCTTCCTTGCTCGCTCTTCTTTGGCAAATGATAATATAATTGTTTGCAATGTCTGATCAGCCTGATAGCTTGCCCCTTGGGTTAGGTGGAATCGTGTCGTGACTTACTATATGAACTTGAATCGATTGGTGTTCTAAAGGCGTGGCTGGATTTGACATATAGTAAGATCAAATCGTGGTTGACCGCCCGCCATTGGTCAGCGATTGTTGAACACAAACACGCACTACAGGGTCACGCAGTGCTGACGTACCGTAATCAGGGACCATCTGACTGTCCCCGCTGTCCGTCTTTTGCATCGAAGAGCCAAATGCCTACAGTCTGCAGTAAGTTGACTTTGTGTTGTACTGTACTGTACACTGTATAATGTACAGCAGTGGTCTGTCCGAGTTCCTCCATTTTAACCTTTTAAAACATGGCGATTTGAGCACATTTTCAACGCGTACAATTTTCCACCATTGTCGTCCATATTGGTTTTGTACAGTATGGTATCCAGTTTCACTCTTATCAGTGATACTGCATAATGGCCGGGAAATGATAAGCTTCTACATTTGTTTGGCCTAGTACGGTCACTTTAAGTCCATCTCTCTTTCTTGTCAGTATTGTCATGGACTACTGTACCGTAGACCAACCGAAAATATTTCAATACTACCATGGACTTCTGTATGTACTTGGCTTGGTCTTCTTCTACAGCAGTAGTCCAAGACACTACTTACAATCTATCATCACCCCCATTGCTGCTGATACTTAAATTATCCAATTAAAATAAATTGGATATGATAGTGTAATAGTTGAAGTATCAGCAGCGATGGGGTAGTGACAGATAAGGCATCCGTTATTTTGAAAAATGACGGATTTCGCAAATTGCCGGTAGCTGTATGTTAGCGGTCCGGTTTAGAGTATAGCATACAACATCTTGTTCGACATTAAACATTGTACGATACGGTACAGTATTATACGCAAAATAAGCGCAACCCTATGAGGATTAGTGAAGCTTTCATTCAATTTAATTCTTTCTATAAAGATGGACATGCTAATTACTAATTATGATTGCTTCCATAATTAATTTTTACGAGTAGATCATAATCATTTCTCAATGCACTATCAATTATATGCGTATTATTTTAATCTAAATAAGATAATGGGCTGATGATGCATAGTAATACTGCTTAGCCCGGAGCGACTACTGCCGGCGAATGCAATTCGCTCGGCCTTTTACACCACCCCCACTCATTTGTAGGGCATACTAACAAATTGCTCCTTCCACAAATTGTATAAGTTACTATAGGGAATTACTCTCAGACAATTAACAAGACTTAGTATGAGCTTGGATAGTAAACAACACTAATGAAAAACAACCAATTATGGTGCCAATCAGCGAGCCTGAGCTCAGCACCAATACAAATAATTAATTATTGGAGCAGTGCGCTCCCATAAGCTAATCCTATATTAAACGATATTATATCTAGCTACATATAATTAATCCTTGTTGATTGCTCCATTATAGTAAACAACCAGTACTAGTGCGTCAGTAAAGCGACGGGAGTTTGCACTAGTATCTTCTAAATCGAATAGGTAATATTTAAAATAATAATTAGACAAATTGAAGGCGCCAATAAGGTGTAAAGTACAATGATGATCACCCGGAGTAAAAATGGAAGAGATTAAAGACACAGCGGTTAATACACAGCTTCCAAAATTTGGTGAGATGTAAATATATTATGATATCGTGCACTATTCTTAACCAATTTATAGCCAGAACATGAACTAATTTGGCTAATAACAGAAGTCGAGGTTTATTCAAAAGTAGGCGAGCTTGTAAATGCTATAATAATTCTATGAAGACTGATGATTTATTTTATCTAACATTCACAACATTCACATCGTTGGTATCAATGTTTCTTCGCAGTCCAAAATAGCTAATTGATGCCGAATTGCATCAATTTCCCTTTTCAATTCATGGTAGTGTTTATAGCTCTAAATAAACAAAAAAAGTATTATCGTCAACGATTTCAGAAGGAGTAATAAAATTCGAAATCTTTAACTTTTAGTCATAATTAGTATAGATAATTTTGTAGTTGCTAAGCAAATAAAAATGAATATTTACCTCTTGCAATCGAGTTCTTAACAATTCTGCATTTAATTTTTTTTCTTGTCTACTCATCACAATCGAAGAGTTGTTGCTACCAGGAGAACAACCAATAGGCTCTACACTTGAATGTATTATACCTGTGGAGGCCCCTTCAGCATGTTTTCGATCAAGTTTCCATTGATAAATCTACAAAATTATATTCATTATATTTAAAATTCAATCTCACTTTAGTAAAAAGATTCGATTATGATCAGAAATATTTCGTTTAAAGCCGTATAAATACCTTAGGAATAAAGATAAACATTAGTGTTGTTGTACTGCAGATAAATATTAATATCGCATGGAGCACATACAGGGTTGTTGGACTAGCTCTGACGACGAAAGAAATGATACTACCTACAGCAGCCAGTAATGTGACATTGTAGATTGAAAATCCAATAAATTTTGTATCATTCAGCGCAGGAATAGTCACATTTCTTGTCTCGTAAGCCAAGAAACTGCCAATGAGTAATAATAAGAATTTATATCCAAAAACAATAGCCATCCAGACCACGATCTGGTTGCAGCTGCAGTAGTATTGTAATTGTCTACTTATGGTACTTGATTCATCTTGATTGATCTATAGTTGATAATTATAGTGGTTAATAAGAAATTACTATTACTAGACTAATATCGTTTACGCTATGTGTGTTTATAACGTTTAATTCATTCCTTTGTATCGTCATTATTATCAAGTAAATGACTTCATTCAGAAAGCGTTTTCTTATGAGCTATCCTCTTATATTATGAGCCCTTAACATTTAAAGGATAATCAAGTGACTACCACACAAACTCACGAACAAATAGATGCTTAAAACATTTACTGAGTAATTACTGTGCTAATGTTGAACCATGCAAGAATGATAACTTAGATTGCAAATAAATTGATGGTTTAAAACCATATTCGATTCATGGAATAAAAGATAAGTATTCCTATTGTAAATTTAATTCACGCTCAATATCAAATAATGCGATATACTATCCATTAATTGATATATAATTAGTAATACTGCTGTATTGAAATTTGTCTGTGCTGTAGTTCAGTCTATAAATGATAAATTTTACAAGAACAATTAAGATAGTCTAATTGCAACTAAAAGTCGTTGGTAATTGTAAGACGAGCCTAATTTATATAATAAGTTAAGGTATACAAGAAACTCTAGTTCTTATTCTATTATTTGAAGATATTTTATTACATCAATGTAAATATTTTTGAATGATTTTACTAGCTTTACCTGTGTTGTAATTGTAAGGTGCTTTAGCTGCATAGGGTCGATAATGGTCCAGCATAGTAAAATAATAACATCAATGATTAATAACTGGAAAACCGTCGTCAACAAATGCCAATCTTTGATAACCTAAACGAAAAGCAGGACAAAATTTATTCAATTAACCGTATAAAGAATAAAAGGCTTATGTTTAAACTATTGTAACCATTTAAAAATATTCAATGTTTGTACAAAGGATAAATTTTGCCCTCGCTAATATATGATCTTACTACAGATTGCCTAGTTTTACAAGTAAAAATTTTATGAATTCTCCATGTTTTGGCAAATAAAGCACCAAAAGCGAAAGTAAATCCAATGCATAAGAGCCAAATTTTCACTGTACAAAATGCTGGTACGGTGATTAAAGGAACAACTCCAGAGTCGATTCCAAACACGATTATGCTAAAATAGCAAATCAAGCATCCTATAGCGCTAACGATATTAATACGAGGGCTGGATAATTTAATATGCCTGGAAATTTAGCATACCGATATTAATAATGGCAGATGGTACAGATTTCTTTAACCTTTTACAATAGACTATGTTGATTATATTTGATATTGATATTTAAACTTCAAACAGATGGTGATGTAAGCTCTATAGTACATAAATTTATATGGATATTAATTTATAATGCTAAAACGTCGTAACTACAATACCTGTCATGACGATAGTTTAGAGTAAAAGCAATTAAGCCGATGCAGAACAATATTCCTATTCCAGAGAGGATTGTAAACGCTATTAAGGCTGGAATTGATATAGAAATAGTTTCTGTTTCGATGGAAACATGTGATACCGGTACTCGATCACCTGTTACAAGGAGAGAACGGTACAAATGCGTTGCATTATTTTGAGAGCATTTAAGCAAGTGGTATTTATTCATGAATAGTAAATAGTATATTTACAGTCTTACCTAACCATTGAACTCGCTGATTTGGATCCCATTCAATTGTGTCAAGCTTCCTTTGGTAAATCCCAACTTGTACAGTATAGTTATCACTCTTATTGCCTTAAAGTAAATAAAACAAAGCCAAATTGTAATTAATATACAGTACGTCTACATAAACATTAATTATAATTATCGGTGCTTAGATAATACTATAAGACTATGTAGTTGTAACACATATAAAAGTTTGAAAAACATCGTAGGCAACAGTACTATCAACGAATACCAAAATAAGATATTGCTCGATAATTAAATAAATGTTAGTCTAAGATTATCACTTCGTTATAACTTAGCATTCTTCAAATTCGACTAACGCTTTAGTAGTTTCAACCTGCTACCGAATGTTTTACTTATGAAAGACACCAAAATAATCGATAAGTAATAAATTATAACTAAATAGAATAGGTGAAATGCGGAAAATTATATAGAGTTTGCTCCGTAAAACGGCATGCCAAACATTAACCTAGAATAATTTCTAGACGCAAAACTGTGAAGCGGTAATTAAAGTGAGTGTGCATTTGGATTTTAATATGTCATGGTACAATATCCTCAGTCATGATCACTTTAGATGCATCCACTATTATCAATTCCTGGTGTATAGGAGCCGTAATTAAATGACCTATTCGTATTTATTAAGATAAGAGCAATTTTATTATACTTCGGTTAAAATTATGAACAAAATTAATGATAGCGTTTGTGAGCCGTATTTAGATAGATGGAAGCTTAAATCTATTTGTGTATGGACAAATTCTGATAGTTTTTTTGTTAGCGGGCTATTCTACGAAATATTATTTTCTAGTTTTACTATAATATACCATATGAAAATAGACTAATTTTAGAGACTTCTGAAAGAAATATTGGAATAGCTTGACATCCTCATAATTGGATACTGGACGGAAACTTATTACCTGCTATTTACAAGTGCAATGTGCTAGTAAAATAATAACAACGGATATAATTTGCAATGTGAGGAGAATAAAAATCGTTTATTTAATTTTAAATCCTCCATAAAAATTGTTACTATATACATGCTCAGTATTTGCGACGATTACCGCATCAGAATAGTGGTCGAGTTTCTTCAAGATCGGTGAGCGTGGTGTCATATTAGTTTATTAGATCATGCTGTATATTGCATTACGTAATATGCTTATTGTAGTGAAGCCCCAAATAAGTTTAAGACTAAAATTATGGAATACTGCGAAAATTGATAAATTGTACGCTAGGTTATAAGACTGCAAAAGTTTCTAATTATAGGAGATGTTTACGGAATGTATTGTAGTAATTGTATTGAGATGCTTATATTAAGATTCAGAGATAATAATGGATAGCTCTAATTATGTTAGTACGGTGAGATTTGTAACGCTTTAATTAGAAGTGCGAATTATGAATTGATAGCGTGATGGTAAATTTAGATGTGAGTTTTGTAACTTAATTGGTATGATTGTGCTTGAAAGAAAATCATTGTGTAACTAATTATATATAAATTGTGAATATTGCTGTGATAATTCAGATAGTCCTTGGTAGTTATGAGATGAACCTGATCTTATGTAATAAAGTGAAGTTTACAAGAAACTGTAGTTCGTGTTGTTTTTTGAGAAGACGCTTTATCACACTCATATAATTGTCTTATCCTCCCCATAACGAAGTTCCTCTTTCGCATACCTGTCGTGCGTCATGAATAAAGGTGAAAAATTACAAGAATATCTATTATTACCTAAAAACTGGTAGATGTAGGCGTTAGATTCCCTATCTGCACCATTAAAGTTTATTTGGCCCTGTTAATTGAAAAATTCCGTTAGCATAATGATTATACTCCTACTGATTATTTTTCGTTTCTCTATAGCCTTGGAAAGTTTACGAAAATTTTGAAAATTTTGAACAAGACAATGTCCCACCGTAATTCCAACAAAATTAGTTTTATCCAACATCTCGCTTATTATACGCATCTTTCGATTATTTTGATACTTAAGATCTAGTAGAGAGCCACCACTTAACGTAAGCTGCTGATCTGTTTGATTTAATGCCAGTGCTAGCGTCCAAACGGAGTCATAAACATAGCCTTTTAGATAATCATTCTGAGATATGTTTCGAAATTTATGGAAATATTCTTGAAAACCGGCTGCGCTCTTTTCGTATCAAAGGTTTATAAATAAAGGAAATAAAAGAAAAATTACCGTATCCAGCCATGTTGGCAATAAGCAAGAATTAAAAGTTACTGAAAGATAGTTCTAATGCTGAATTTTAAGATAATGGTATTTGTTACTCTCTTACTCTGCCGGATATGGTCGTTTTATTATTTATTGGATAAAACTGATAAACAGATAAATAATTTTGTATAACTTGGTAGATTTGATTGCTTGAGCAATTTATATCTTTGGCAATATAGTCCATATACCAATGTTTTGGATACCATCCTGGAAATACCCAAACATATTTAGGCCCGTAATATTGCTTCTTATAAGCCTATTATTAAAATGATCCGTAATTGGTTAATAATTGAGTAACTCCATATGTTTACAGTCTGCTATATTTAATATCATAACGTAAAAAATATTTCGTCGTTAAACAAGATACATTGACCATCTGATAATGATTCTGAAATGGCAGATTTAGTGAGCAATTCTTTTTAGAACCGTACCAATACATGCTAATTATTGACCGTTGCGAATTTTAAAATTCGTTATTTCAGTTACAGAAATGATGCTTCAAATTACCTCGCACAGGACGTACGAAATTGCATCTGGCCGTGAAACCACGAACATTATTCTTGCATCCTTATTCTGCAATGAAAGCAAGATTTACAGAATTTGATATTTAGATCACGGCCATGGAATTTAATTACCGAGGTTATTCATCAAGCTCAGAAATCAGTATTATTAATAATGTTAAACAATTCTTCTGTAAGGGAAACTTAATTTGCTCTGGTGTTTTATACGCTTTGTTATATCCTATAGGTGTGTATCATAAAATATTTTAAAAATGCAATTACAGTTACCTTTAAGTTCTTTATTACATCCTTTGCATCATCAACTATTCCTTCTGCTGTCAATAATGTAATATTTTTAGCTGCAAACCGTTTAGTTAGATCCCTAATAGACTATAGCATTGATTATTGGTGAATTAAGTGTATCATTGGTCCTGATCAGAAAACTGTATGGAAATAGCTGTCTATTAAGAAAATACTAACAAGTGTAAGAGATGGTGAAATTTGGTAAACGATGGACACCTTAGTCCAATTAAAATACTCCGCTATTGCAGCCATGGCTGGATTAAAACTGAGATCTGAAAGTGCTGTGCGGTAGAAGTAAGGATAATTTTTACGATCATTTAGTAACAACGAAGATGATCCGAAGGAAACCTAAATTACGTCAGAAACAAAATGCAAACAATTTAATTCAAGTTTATAAATGGCTACAATTACAGCAATCTATTTAATATTCATCACGATACTCAAAATAACAATCCTAAATTTTAATATCCTATGTGCAATACATGATTATATTATTTGATAAGCTATTTGTTATGAATTCCTATCGTCGCAGCAATCTATATAATTCATATTTTAATCAATACTATTTTGTTAGTATAAGAAAGTATTGGTAAAGTAATTTGAGTTGGTCCGGCCTTTATTTACTAATATTCGACCGATGAACTGATGAATTTAATGGTTGAAAATCTCATGGAGGAGAGTGTGGGTTAACCTGTAGAAAACTTAGACGTAAAAACCAAGGTCACTCTTATTCTAAATCTAATCTTTATTGCAACTCCAGCCTCTCGAGGACCCGACAAATCCTTATATACCTAACTTTTTTTTATCTTATCATACAAGTTACGTATCGTACCGTACAATACAAACGTATTCAATCAATACAACATGGTTTTCTAAGAATATTCATGAAGAACTGTTAATGTTCTGTACAGATGTTTATCTGACAAGACTATTTAGAATGATAACAGAATGAATGGTATTTAATCTATTTTTACTAATTTACGAAAGAGAATCAACTCTGAAGAAGATAAAACCATTAAATTTTACTACTGTATACCGTAAGATTTGATACGCAATTTCTTCTTTAGCAAGTACTACTAGTATTTTCCAATCAATTAATTTGTTGAAAAAATAAACTTTAAACTATGGCATAAAGTATTCTAAAACCTATCATGTAGCTGCTATGGTAAGCGTAATATCAGCAATGTATTTCGTTATCAATACAGTCCAGTTGCAATTATTGAGTCCTTCATAAGTATTATAAGCCACTGTAATTGTGGTCTAGGACAGTTTAACGCCGACGATTTACCGCTGTACAGTTTAGTAGTTTAGGCGATATACAACATCTACTCAACATTAGTGTACGTGAATGCTATATTTTAACCACAATACACTGTTAATGTATACTCTTAATGTGTATGTATGATCTATAATAACATTAACATCGATATAAGATATGACGTACTGAGGGAAGATTTAAAATTTTGTAGCGTTCAATCCTATACAGCCTAGAACTAATTTAATGCGGTGGAGTATCTACAGCAAATCGTCCGAGCCAGTGCAATTGACGGCAATTCGGCTTATTAATTACCTGATAAAGAGCAAAATTCTACTAAAAATTAGTTTCGTCCTCGGTTAATATTATTCTAAATGTTTTCTAGGAATGTTATATGAGACAGCATGTACTAATCTCTAGGCATGCAGAGAAATTTTAATCATAGAAACTTGTATGAATCTGATGCGTAAGCAATAAGTATCATTAAAAGCTAAAATCCACATTATTTGGCTTATAAATCAATCCTATACTATCTTATCCAACGATAGTTACAATCTTATATTTATATATATTTGTACAACTGAAAATAGGCTTCTTTATAATCGCAATTATTAAGTGTAATGATTATGAGGGCTGTCATAAGTTTTCGTTCTTAGAATAAATCAAGATTAAGGAAGATTTCATTTTAATCCTTAGAATACGTTTACAGAAGAGTTCTAGCAGTCACGGGCTCAGTAAAGTGTATTTTGTGAAAATAATTATTCTACGAATAGATTTTTGGTTTACTGTAAATGTTATGTGAATAGCTTTCTCGGAATATGAGGCCTTTCAAAGCTATTTAATTTAACGTCAACTTAGAATACTGACATTTCATTCACTCTTTGTCATTCATTATTAGTATAAGAGCGAATAAATAAAATAAAATTAATCGCTTTATAGTACTATATTTTACATGTATATGACCATACCATGGCCTGATTCCAATACTTGGAAATAGCGCCAACGTATTCAGCACAACTTGCTCTTATCGGGCCAACGATTCCGAAAACTTCAGTTGTTTGATTATGAAGCGACGAACGTATGTAAATATTGGCTGCTAGTGCAGGATTAAACTAGTACCAATAGAAAATAAAAATGTTAACTGGCGATATGAAGGTAGATAATAGTTCTTATGATGTCACAACGACGTTTTAATCATTATCGTAAAGTTAAATTTTGTGAATTTTATAGGTTGGCTTAAGTAATGCACTAGATTTTGAACGAACTAATAATTATCGGTTTAATCCATATGCAGATTTTTCGTTGCTAGAATTTTCATTTACAGTGTATATGATTTTAAGCATAGAATTAGATATATGCTTAATATTTCTGAAACCTGAAGTTGAAATAACTAAGGTATCATTAATTTTACTGTCGTAACTGTGTCAGGGTATATCAAAGGGCTGTAAACTAATAATTGCAATTTTGTAAATATGGTTACCGAACTACATTAGAACATTACAGGATTAGGGTATGGTTAGGCTGATCATTATTCCTACATTCATGATTAACCACAAAGTTCTTGACGCACTTCTAAATTTTCGCTCTAATAAAATTTATGTACTAGTATAGCCTCTGTGGCTATCAAATTTATCGTAAATAATAAAGCCTAGTCGATAAAACTGCAGTTTATTGTTGACAACTTACTCGAGTAAAACCAATATTAGCCACCAAGTTGTAACCTTTCAATATATGGGGATTAGTATTAATATCTGATACAGCTAACTTTATACTTTCAATTTGATCAATTCCAGTTCTTCCAAAATTGTTGTGTGGCACTAATGCCAATATACGTATTGATGGTTTACTAGTTAAATTTCCATCCAAAGATTCCACTAGCATATTACCATCGCTTGCCATTATCAAGCAAAGTACCGTTACAACGTAAACGTGTAAATTCATCTCGATGATATCTTTCTGTAAATACTAGTCTTCTTCCAAATAAGTCAGTTTCACCTGTATCGGAGAATAAGCTTATGCTTGTACAATTAATAAAAGTAGATTTACTAAGATGATATTTTGAATCTAATCATATCAAACATAAATAGTCTGGGTTACATTTTGAAATGAAATTCTACGTATTTTTTACGAAAACATTTTTACCTACCTAAACTATTAAGCCTAATATTCGATTTGCAGTATGAGATAACAAGTTTGCCTGACGCGGTAGCAAAAATTTGAAAGTGTCAGAAAGCCTGCAAGTAAGGAATTTTATTCATAATCAATCATTCAATTAATGGTTAGAGCCTTAATATATCTAGGTGTATTTAAATGCTTTTAACTTATTTTTACAAAGGATGATGC